ATATATCGGTAACAACTTTCATTTGTTTTCACTACAGACAGCAACAACAAAAAAAGCTTCAATTTTATAAAACAAAGGTAAGCCTCTCTTTATATTACTACAAGATGGCTATGGTAAATCCAATACACAAAGAAATTGATAGGGTCTAGAAAGGTCATTATACACAGCTGAGGCTATTTCTCTGATTCAGGCCTTAGTCACCCAGGTACAGGAAATACCTTGTACAGAAATGGGCTATAATTTCTTGTGGCTGCTGGGATTCAAGCCCAGGTCTCTACAGCCACAAACTACATCCACTTACTTCCACAGCATGTCAGTTAAGATACACATGCTTTTTTTGAAGATTGAACAAGACACACACAACTTTCAAAAGTTTCTAGTGTTTCTGAATTAAATTAGCAGCTGCACACAAAGGACCTCTCATTAAACCAGAAAAAGAGTTCTCGTCGGACTCCAAATGGTCACCAAAGAGGCCTGCAAATTTTTATCTTATAAACAAGGTCAATTAAAAATAGATAATGGAAAAACATGCACCATTCAGTACTCTCCTTCACTTCCCAAAAATAGCATCATGTTGTTGGTCCAAACTACTGCCTCCAGTCCCCTTCTTCTTATGATAAAACACACTAACCGGGTAGTAAACACACAGACCGATCGAATGGCTAAGTCTGCATATGCATAGATCAGGTCTAGTTGAGTTTAGAGTTGTTCTACAAGTCCGAACATAGAAAAACAAGTGGCCACTGGGATTCCTTTTAACCTTGTGAAACTGAACCTTAAAAGGAGGAAACAACGTAGGCCAACTTGCAAGGACCAATAGAACAACTCACAAGCTGCCTTTTCTTTCTTATAAGGGCAGTAACTAGATTAGAATTCATTTAGCAAGCAGCAGGCACTAAAATTCAGAAAAAACTCTATGGTTACCTACATTTTTTTCCCTTTTTGTGGTCCAAAGGTTCCTAAGTTAGGGAAGTGTTACAGTCTGGTCCAGCTCAACTACATAAAGGGTGATCAAGCAACAATACAGATCAATTTATGATTGATTCAAATCTAAATGAAATAGTCTCCTAATGACCAGCAGGCCCATGGTTACCCTCTTTTCCTTTTTACACTTATTCCCGTTCTGTGTCCAGCTGTTCTCCTAAACCACTGCTTTACTCCATTCTTAACAATTTATCAAGCCTTTTGTGTGATGAATCTTGATACTACAATGCACCAACAAAATCTAAAATCAGATGAGACTGTCTACATTCCTTCATGAGGCATCGATATGCCAAACTCTCTTCTATCTTTAACATTATAACAATTGGTTCAGAGGCTTTGCAACTGAGATTATTGATCATTTCTAGATAAATAAGAAAGACCCCTTCTATATAGATCTAAGAGTTGAAAAATTCAGTAGAAAACAAAAAAATAACAAAAAATGGAGGCCAAATAAGAATTTCTCCTGTGAAACACCAAGTTAAGCCAGGACAACACCAAGTTAAGCCACAGCAATACCAAGCTAAGCCACTTACAATAACCAAAAGCAACGGTTAAAAAAATGTTGGATTAGACTATACCGACCAGTATTTACACCTGCATCGGCACCATACCGAGATTTTAAACCATGAGATCCTTCCAAAATTTGCAACCCAATTCTGTGATGCTTGGTTTGCCTCTCTCAAAATATGCCGAATAGTATAGTTAACAAGATTTGAAAATTTTATTCAGCTGTCTGTGACCTGAGTACTACGACAATAGATCAGTCAGCTTTTGTCCTTCATACCACCTTGTTTTCTAAATGACTGGATCATTCTACACTTTTGCTAGAGATCCTCTAGTAGAGGAATATGCAGATTTTCAGTGGGACAATGACAAGAATTTCATAAACATATTTTAAAATTGTTTAAATAAAATGCAAAACACATCTTTATTGCATAAGCATACCCTGTTTTCATAGAAGAAACGAATAATTTGAAGAGTGATTCCCAGAGGGCTTCCACTTGGACATGAAACTGGTTGGATGGAAGAAGACCCAGCATGCCTGAAATTGTTCTTTTCATCGCATCCACTGTGTTAGCAGGTACATCCTTTTGGATGAGGCTCATATCCAAGGGCTCTATCTCTTGTATCAAGTTTAAGAGTGTGGACTTCTGAAAGATAATGTCAATGTAGCTTTTGAGGAGATTAAATGAACATTTTTGAAAAGACAATCGAAATCTGTTGGTGTTGCAAGTTAAGAGGACGAGTTCTCAACAATTAAAGAAAAAAAAATGACTGAGTATATTTTTTGTAGAGTTATGCAAGATTCTATTATCATGTCAATGCATTGCATTCATTCGATCTTATTCAATTTCACAAGATGATGATCTTCTTAGACTTCTGGACCCTTTACTTTCTGTAGCAATTATTTCAGCTTAACCTCATCTCATTTTATTGGGTTGATTTCTATCTCCACCCAAATGCTAGACAATATTATAGTGCACTAAAAACGTACAGTTCGACATCAATAATGAAGGCAAATGTTTGAAAGAAGTAACAGTTAGGTTAGTTAATGGCATAGTTTGATGGTTTTAGGTCATTGTATCATTATGACCACCAAGTCATATCTGAATAGACACCTGACCAACAGTATGTCTGAACAATCTTTTCATCCAAAAATATGAAGATTACAGTCTGGTGAAAACACTCAAATTTTCATCCAAAATTTACAGACGATGCTATGCTTCTTTCAATAATATACAAGGACAACTAAGTCCAGTATGTATGTTTGTACACAGCTGAAAGTTGAAAATGTTTTCTAGAATATATTTAACAAAATTACAAGGGATGGATTAAAAAAAGAGTAGGAATCTGTGAAGTGGAATTTCACATTAAAAGGGCATTTAGAACGTGTCTATAACTTTACAGAAAATAAGAAATAAAAATTGAGGAGAATATTATGCTGAAAATAACATTTTTATGTGAATATCACAAAGTTAAGCAAGGTATGAAGAATTCACCATTAGCTGTAAGATGTAACAACTTTACAAGGAAATCTCTCAATAAAGGACAGGGTTTACCAGAAGAACATCAGAACACAGAGGTCTGAAAATTAGTTGAATATACTCTGCATGCATCATGATAGAACAAGCATACACCAGGTTAAGCACCGAGATAAAAGATGGAAACCCATTGTACTAAATTTCTAAGGCCACCCAGTGTACAGATAATTATTTGGCATGATAAAGAGATTGCTTATAATTACTCAATTTTTAACATGTAATATCAGATAGAACCCAAAAGGAGTATGATCTTGCGTATTGAAGAAGTCAACAGGGAATCCTATGATTGAAATGATTATGGAAGTGTCGCACTTCTTAGGAATGTGAAGGATGACAAAAAATACCAGAGCAACACAAAAATCTTAACTTTGGAATATCAAATCTTGATATGAAAATGATGCTATTATAAGATTTGCGTAATTTTTCCATGCGTTTTTTTTTTAAATCCGATAACTTATCACACATCAGCAAAAAAGCATCCTGGAAAAGGTAAAGATGTTAATCACTTGAATTGTTTTAGGTTGGTATACACAATAAGCCTCCAAAAGACAAAGGAGTCCACAGTTTGGGGCAAAGTTTCCGTGTTCTTACCTTCGGCTTGATAAAATTTCTAACAGAGCCTTATACCGCTCTCTGTCTCAGCACAAATGATTTCACAGAGCTAAAAGTTATAAGCAATTAGATCTATTTCCCATGATGTACAACAAATTGGCAGATTACGTCAATGAAGGAACAACCTTCAAAAATTTTTGTTCTATTCTAAACATGGGGAGAATCAGACGAGATATTTGGTTACCGATGGAAGCCAGTTTTCCCATCAGTCAACACTCAAACCCAATTCATACGTTCTTGCCACCTATCTGGCTATCCACTGCTAATTCCGATCAGACAATCCGAGATTGAAGAGACGCCCAAACCTATCTCTCGCAGGGACCCAATTCCGGGCCATCGAATCCACAAGAATCGTGCAGAAATCACGGACAATCGTTGTGGAAAGGAACCCACAAGTTCCGATTTCAAGGAAGAAAGCAATTAAAAGGGAGGAAGAAAGAAGGTAAAGAACCAACCTTGGATGACTGCTTCTTGAACCCGACCTTGGAGTCGAATTCATCGAAAGGAGCAGCGGAGCATGCGACGATGGCGAGCAGCCCGCGTCTCGAGGGCCCAAAGGTAGCGATCTGAAGGGGAACGTGGAGCCGCCGCCGCTGGATGGATATCGGCGGCGGCGGTGGGCGTGGCCGCGAGAAGAAGGAAGCCCGAGGTAGCAACGCGGCAACGGTCGGCATGCGCTTTCCCGGCCCGCACTCCTTTCTCTCCCGCTCCCTCTCCCTCTCCCGCGGCGGCTATCTCCCTCGACCGTCTGTCGTCCACGCGTGCGTCAGCGGGTAAGTGGGCGAGTCCAACTCGGACAGCTGTATCGACCACGCGGCGACGCCACGAGAATCCTGTGATCACGTGGTTGGTGAGTCATGACTCGTTCACCATTCTCATCCTCCGTCCCGGCCGAGCGACGTACGCATCGATCCTTACGACGAGGCTGATCTGCCATGATTGATTTGAACACAAACACTATTCTGCCGATTTTTCATGATTGATGGAGAATAACATTATTATTCCTACTATTCCCATCCCATCAGAAAATATATATTCGTATACCCATCCTTGGAAATAACATTATTTAACATCTGTCTTTAAAAAAATGAACGTTTTAGACCCAAAAAAATATTTAATACTGGTTCGATCGAAAGAGAAGGGACTCACTCTCGGGGTGCCAATCTATTCAAACACAATTGCAGGCGTAAACTCCACCCGTGACTGCTGCATCTCATCAAGATATCATCTCTTGATCACTTCGGTCAGTGGTATGGATCAGTACATGGAATCATGTCACACTTCAGACGCATGCAAAGAATACTCTTAGCACATAGGCATGGTCATTAGCTTAGCTATCATACATTTTTAAGAAATGCATAATTAAAACATACCGCAACTTGTTTAACAATAACCTATATTTCAATTCACAACACAACATTTACTTCAATACATAAATATATATAGTACTCGATACAACTCTAGTGAATGACAATAAAAATACATCTGGACATAGAAAATGAAACCAAACGTCAGAATTCCAAAAGCACCACATGGCCAATTTAAATAGACAAGTAGACAGATGATTGTAAAAGCGGTGGCATTCCTTGGATTTTAACAGAACCAAGCTTAAGCATCATAAGAACTTAAAGCAGCAATAATGGATCCTGTCGTAGCAAATGCCAAGGTTATATCTGGATAATCTTTCCAAGCCGTGTTAATTCTGACTGATGGATAGAGCCAAGGTTTAATGGAGGACAAGAAGACGTCCGGGTTGGGCGATAGTATGGCCTCCCAATCAACCTGAACACCCGGAGGGATGCTTCCAGTGACCTCCATGTTGGCTGCAAGAAATAGCCCCAACAGTACTATATAACCAACCACAGCAGAACCTCTTGACAGCGGCATGAAGTTATACCTGCAAAATTTAATAATGTTTCCGTTGTATTTACATAAATGCAAAAGCTTGTCCAGATTTAATTTGTTCTATGTGTCATTCTCTAAGTACCAGTAATAAGTCATTCTTAGGATTGCATCTTTCACATTCTCGAGCATAGTAAGGTCGGTCGACGAATATATCTCGCTGGTGTAGGCACTGCAGATGGCCTGCATGTAAACAAGTTCAAGGTGAACTAACAGAGTTTACAACTAGAAACAAAATCCTACCCAAAAAATAAAACATAAAAATCAACAATTGATGCTAGTGGTTGTTTTTGAAGAAGCATGTCCGAGCAAGAATTTAAATCTCAGCCCAATTCTGGTTTTAACAAGCATTCGAATCAATAAGGTGCCATTTACTGAGTGGTATGCCGACCTTCCACACATAATAATAACACTATTGTAGGATAGGTTTGGAACATGACAATGGAATCCACACAATAAAATCTTGACGTTAAAGTTACAAAATTAATGATAGCAAGGAATTCACCATGAAAGCAAAACCAAGAATGATGTTTGTGAAGAAAATGGAAGACATTCAAATAAAAGTGAACATACATTAATAAAAAACACTACATATTTCAAGGAAGAAGTCATTAGGATAAATTTCAAGGTTACTAATTCTGGAGTCACTTCAAAGATTACTGCTCAATCAAATCAGAACAAGGTTTGAAGGTATGAAGCAGAAATACTAATGCTTGACTTTCAGGGATATAACTGCAGTAGCTGTATGTTGGTGTAAGAGACCTTGAATGAAGAAACATGGTACAAGCAAAGATGTAATCGACTCAGATTTTATTATGAATGTAAATGGATAGCTTGCTGGTTCCATTTTGCTAATGACAAATGCCTTTTCTTTGGTATAACAAATGCCTCCTTGGAATATCATTTGTAGTGAAAACACAATTCGGTATATTAACTTTTGGAACAGGATAATGATAGAGCCAACTAATTTCATGATTTGCTTCACAAATAAAAATTGAGATTATGGTCATACCTCCCATGCTGTTGCCATTTCCTCGCTATATTCGTCCCATCTAGATGGTGTACAGGGTGTCCGAATCGCAAAATCAAATCCTATCTTATCCCTGCAGATATGAAAGTGAGATGAGACCATGAGAAACAATGACACTTTCGATAGCACCAAGGATCAAGTATTCAAGGAATTACATTTTCTGAAGAGTAATTCTTGTCCCTTCAAGATGCTTCCTGAACACAAAAAATGCTGAACACGTCAATGAATGTACAGAAATGTAGTATGTGCAAGGTACTAGTTATATCCAAGTCGAGTTTAAATAGTTATAGCAAGCATGAGAATGTGTGGCAAAATTCAAAAAAGGGTAGCATATGCATAGTTTGAGACAGTGTTACCCCTCAAATGCTGTGCTCTCACAAGTAGTACCCACCCAGAAGTTTTCATCAATTACACCATACAAGTCAGAGCAGGATCCTGCATGTATTATCTGTAGGTGATATAGACACTAGATAGTGAAAAATGACCCATAGTAAGAATAATCTAATAGACACAATACAGCAGAATGAAATTACCAAGTAGTTAAGAACAAAATGAAAAAAAAAAAACATTAAGCAAAAAACAAGAACATAAATTAGCTGTAGCGCCTTACATCTAACTCGATAATCATTGGAAGACAGAAGACGTACTATAAGCTTTACGTTTCTTATACTTCAAAAAAGTCAAAAGATTAAGATGTCGAATATGGTGAGACATCAATGTTCTCACCTTTTGTAATTTCCCAGCTCCTGAGAGATCAATAATTTTATCTGCTGCATTATTCACATATTTTATGTCTTTGATGATAGACTTTGCAACATCAAATATCCTGTACAGAATGGACCAACTATCAGCTTACACTTGAATTTCTAACTTGTTTATAAAGCTAGATTTATACCTTTGATAGTTGGGATAGTAACGGACAACTTTTGCTTGCCCAAGAAGCATCGGTGTGTGAGAACCAAATCCAGAATTGAACTCCTCACTATTTTTAAAAGAGCAAGAAAAACATATTTATTAGAAGAGATAACGATAGCAATTTAATTTGTATCTTGACAATAAAAAAGAATTCAATGTTATCTTAGTAAGTTACAACTTGAGATCAGATTCACCTCAGGTTACCTCACATGACCAAGCAAAAAGGAAACAGAGATAATCACCATGACAGTTATCAGAAAGACCAAATTGAAACTAATGGAATGGAAACAAGACCAAATGTTGAGAATTTATGCATGCAGCAGCAAATGGATCACCAGGTCTTGAATAAGTCATATCATATTCCAGTAATCTAATATATTCCAGTAATCTAATAACTCCTTTTATCCGCTAAGAATAAGTCATATCATATTCCAGTAATCTAATATAGGCAATTCTTCTATTTATTTAGAAAACTCTTTCTGTCATATGTTAAAAATAAGCTATGTCATTCAATACACATCTAGTATAGGAAACTTCAAGTATATTATGGAACTGGTAAAAAAAATTGACTTGCATTAAAGCACAGCCACAATGGATAGACCTAGAAATCCCTTTGAAAGCTACTGGTATACAAGAGGATACTGCAATACAATAATGATCCAGGTTATCAACAATAATTTGCCATGAGATTTATTTAAAAAAAGGCTAGAAGAAAGCTCATGTTTCCATGCAACTTAAACCACAAGCTATATCATGAATAGCAGATGTTCCAACGAAAGAAGCTAGGACAGCAATTACAGAAACTCAATTGAACCAGTACCACGCAATTGAGTTAACTTATAAACAGACTACTTTGAAGAACTTTAGATGACAAATAGCACCCAGAAATGTCAAGAAAACAAATCAGCAAAGCTAATAATAAAAAGAAAAAAAGAAAAAAATGATATATAAGTACCATTAATAATTGAAAGAAATCAATAGGAAGAGATCATGGAAGAACAATTGAAAAGAAGAGTCACAGTGGAAAATATTGGAGATGTTGAGCAAGTTGAGAGTCAACAAAGAAATACAAGAAATGAGGTCATGTATATGGTATGCCTGCATGCACCATAGTACTAGAGGAAGGAAGATGGAAGAGGAAGAATAAGGAAGGTCGAGGAGGTGGAGGAACAGGATGAGCAGGAGAAGGAGAAGCACCTGAAGAGTGCGACAGGCTGCAAGCAAACCGGTGATGGTGGTGCAGCGACAATGCAGAGGGAAGATGAGCTCACAAGCAGTTTCGGACTCTAGAACAAAGTCGATGCATCAAAAACACCACTCCTTGCCTAAAGAAAAAAGAAACCAACCGGACCACCTAAAATCAAGGGGCCCATAACTCGGTTCATGCCTGGACCAGTTAATACTGGTCAGTTGGACTGGTATGGGCGAAATTGAATTCTGAAGAAAAAGTCAATGGATCACCCCAATCCACCATAAAAAGTCAAAATAGTAGAAAATGTATCTCATAGCCCAAAAAGGCAAGCACATCAAATAAAAAGATAGGACAGACAGGAAGAACAAAGACGCAATAGTTAAAACTTCTTTTTCCTCATTCAGAAGTAACAGTCCAACATGCGACTTCTTATCCTCTTATCATGAGCCCTTATCAACTTTTAAGAACATATCCATAGTCTGCTTCATATTGAGGCATACCCAACAAACTGAGAGTCCAGCACCAATACAAAATCATAATACAATACCACTGGCTTGTACCAGTTGACACAATTGTCGGTGTATGATCAGATGCCAGCCTGCCTAAAATTGATTTGGTAAATATGAAAAGCCATGTTGGAAAGTACCACATGCATCTCATTTGAGTTACAAAACACAAAGATAGTTAAAGTGATTTCCATACCCTCTATTGTTATCATGTAAACGCTTCTCTTAAAATAAAATTGCACGGAGAGAAAATTGTAGGAACATAAGAACCGTAGAAAGCATATAAATAGATGGCGATCAAAATGACCAGAGGGTTCACAAACAAAGTTTTGAAGAAAATAACAGAATCAGAAGCAAAAGAGTTCTCTTGTCATACATATTAATTTGCTGTTTAAATAACAGTATCGCTAGAATCTAATTGAGAACTTTCTTTTGCAAAATGAAAACATAAGATCAAGTTTATTAAAAATAAATAAAGACAGAGGTAACCACCTTAGCTTATTTACCCAGACAACAGGGTCACAAGGTTCAGAGATCTGCCTCCATTTTACAGCAACAGAGTAAACATCTTGCCAAGAAAGAGAACGGGCAGAAGCATATTTGTCTTCATTTGAACCATATGAAGAAGTTTCTGATAAGCCACTAGTGGTACAGCATGCACCACCTCTATTTTGACTCACTATATTGAGTCTTTCCTTTTTCCTAGTCTTTTTACCATTCTTATTTGCATTTCGAAGAAAGCGCCAATACTTTGCCACCTTCTGAGCCACCTCAATAGCAGCTAACCCAGCCATACGATACTAAAAAATAGTCAAACATTGAATTATAGTAAACAAGAATTTACAAGACAAGGTAACAATAATGCACCAGATGAAACAATGTATACAATATAAAATACACACATAAGTCCATCATCATGTCCAATCAAGTTTGGAAAGTAATGTACATCATACTTACAAACACAAAGGCCCTGATTATAAGTCTTAAGGGAAAATTCACATATACCCCTCCACTCATAATTTCACATAAACCCTTTTGAAGTTGCATATATCATAAGAACCTTTCTAAGGTTAACAAATTTTAATGAATATTAATTCAAATAAGAGATGGGATTACATGAAAGCACAGAGCATAACAAAAGATTTAATAATTATAATGGACACCATTATATTTGCGATGTTAGAGGAGCATATGTGAAATTTAATATATTTTGAAAGATACATATGAAGATGCCCTAACTTCTAAATAACCTGAATATATGCCTAACCAATGAGCAACATGATAGCTGGAATTTTAAGCATGCCTCCGTGCATGGACCAAGCAGTAGGAGTCTGACTATTTGAATGAAGTTTTGATATACTTGTCAGTTTAATCAATAATCTTCCACCAGTTTCAAGAAGTAGATTAAGATATTATGTGCCAGCTTCTAAAGAGACTGCTCTTACATTTTTCTGATACTGATTAGACAATATGCAACGAAGTAGAGTTAAACATGACAAACTGGAACATCAAATATTCAATTGATATTTAAATGCTACCAGTGTCCTTAAGGTACCAAGGTAAACTGTATCAGGAATATCAAATATTCATGTATCAGGATAAATGTATCAGGTGAGTGTCACCAATCTTTCACTGGAAAAGAAGACCACTTCACCTACAAATGTAAGGTTAAGATCCATTTTAGCCCTTGTGGTTTTGATCATGGACCTTTTAGGTCCTCATGGTTTACTTATGTCTAAAATAACCCTTACATTTTTAAAAACGTAGCATATAAGTCACTCCCGTCAAATCTGAATTAACATAAGCTAGAGTCTACTTACGTGATATACTGATTCACAATAAACTATTAATATAATGGCACGTATAATTTAGGTTTAAGATTCATTTTAACCCTTGTGATTTTGACTATAGACCTCTAAAGCTCTTATGGTTTACTCGTGTCTAAAATAACCCCTACATTTTAAAAAACATAGCATATAAGCCCCTCCCGTCAAATCTGAGTTAACAAACGTTAGAGTCTAATTACATGACATGCTGACTCACAATAAACTATTAATATAATGACACATGTAATTTAAGTTTAAAAAAAAAACTGAGACCTCCATCAATGGCAGAAGGAGGCATCGTCATGGAAGCGACCACTAGTAGCAACACCGAGTCGCTGCTGCCTAACAAAGCATCATACGCACGTAGCCTCTCCCGCGCTGACGACGAGCTCATAAGCTTTCGGTCCTACCTTAGGTAGATGTGCATCGACTAGTCCGACGCTAGGTACACAATGGTCTCATAGTCTCTCTTCCTCCTCTTGAGCATCTTTGTCCCCACCACTTCCCACTTCGTCCTCTCCTGTGCCCCCACTCGTCGCGCCTACGATGTAGTGGTCCAACTCTCCCTCACCACCGACTTCGGCCTCTCCTACCTCTACCTCTCCGCCTTCGTCTGCCACTATGGCCTCCACCGCTTCCTCTTTCTCAATAAGCTGGTTGGGGAGGTGGCTAAAATGGATCTTACCCCTAAATTACACGTGTCATTATGTTAATAGTTTATTGTGAGTCAGCATGCCACATAAGTAGACTGTACCGTCTATTAACTCAGACTTGACGGGAGGGATTTATATACTATGCTTTTTAAAATATAGGAGTTATTTTAGACACGAGTAAACCATAAGGGCTTAAGAAGTTTATAGCCAAAATCACAAGGGCTAAAATGGACCTTAACCCTAAATTACACGCGTCATTATATTAATAGTTTATTATGAATCAGCATGCCATGTAAGCAAACTCTAACGTCTGTTAACTCAGACTTAATGGGAGGGACTTATATGATACATTTTTTAAAATGTAGAGGTTATATTAGACACAAGTAAACCATAGGGGCTTAAGAGGTCCATGGCCAAAACTCAAGAGACTAAGATGGACCTTAACCCACAAATATATACTGAACTTTTATTAGATAAATTTTAAAATTCTGCAAACATGTATGCTGCTATCAAATTTTGTAGAGGCAAATGTTAATAATATAGGACAGGACAGATGAATCAAATATGCAAAATTGAGTGTATGAACAGATGTGCCTAGTTAGGCTGTAATTTGTTGCATGGGAACAAAACTAATAAAATAAAATTAAATGCAGTAATATTTTGCTGCAGAGCAAGCTAAAAGCAATCAACAATGTGCAAATAGGATATGATGTGGCCATCCAGAAACATACAAATTTCAAGTACAATATGAAATAACTGATCACCTGACGATTATTTTGCATGAAACCCGGACAATCATATTGTATCTTCTGGCCAATAACATCTGCCACATGTAGCAGAATTTGTTTATGCTTTGTAACAACAAAATCTTGCTTCTTTAGGCGACCCTTTTTCAGGGATTCTTTCAAGGGAGGTTGCCTATATACCCTCTCACATACATATTGTGGATGCAGTCGTTTACACCAGTATTCCTGTATGAAGGTTTTAGTTGCAACTTGTCTTGTTCAGTATAAATTCTATTAGCATAAAACGTGGAAAGAAAAACCCATAAAGAAACAAATATAGAAGGGAAGATGAAAATCTTGTCATATGAATCTTACACCTGCCCTCAAAACCCTCTTTATCCTGGACAAGAATTAAGTACAATGCAATGGCATTGAACAAAGAATAGGTCAACTTTTCATTTAAGCAAATTTCAAACACAAGATCGTAAGTAGTTTTTACACAAACACAGATGGGAATATATGTATATATATGCATGTACATATGCTCTAACAGACATATACTTAAAGATGAGCCTTGTGACTATAAAGATTAATCAATAACATGCCATCGTCACTAAAATATTATATAGGAAAAAGGTTAGACTTGAGAACCACCTACAGAAAACAAGCTCTATCAAGAGGCTGTCTAAATCTCATCGCACTCAGCTTATTTACACTAGAACAGCTGTGCTACTGTGAGAAATCATGCCAAAGATCGTGTAGCCCAATCAGTGCTTTTGTCAAAATGCTAGACAAATAAAACTTTAAATACCCAGACTTGGACACAACCACAATTGTATTTGGTAAGATGTGTATCAATCATCATTGGATACCAATTACTAGGGATAAGTACTCAAAGTTCAGATGTGAAACTGGTTACATTAATCTGAAGCAATTTTTCAGGATTTTAATCACCAATCAATAATTGATCCATCTTTAAGCTTGATCATCGGCATTATGTCTAGGTTAATTGATTATGAATATTGCAAGTAGAGAAAGCAACAGAAAAATAAAGGATTAGGAACATATACCACAAAGAAATTCAATTGTAATGATTAGAAAGAATCATGGAGGGTGACTAAAATAAAGGAGATCAAGTGGAATAGTCCTGTAAGAGCTTCTTAAGAGTTTAAACCAAGCTTCTCTAAAATGAGTTAAATCTGAATTAGTTAAAGTATCGATGAGACAGATTAAACTTCATTATTTATCTTTTTTATGACCGCTTGATATCTAGCATCAAGTATAGGCCCAAATGCACAAGGCTTTCACCAGGGCCTAGGAAAAAAATACTTAGTCGTAATTTGGAAACCACTATATTTAATCCAAACTATTAAATATAGGTACAATAGATGAGTTACAAGCACTGTACAAAAAGAATTTCTTAAACTTTCCATTTAGAAAAGAAATTAGCACTAAATTATTGGTTTGCATGTTAAAAACTCATGCTAAAAAGACCATTAGCTTTAAATCACCTACTGATGCTTTTTCATGATGAGATGTACAGGATGTTGCAAGCTCAAGCCTATATCTGCATGTCTAAAGAGAAAAGAAAAGTCTATAGGTCCTTTTGCTTAGTGCCAACCTGCAGGCCATGGAAAAAAGAAAACCTAGTTATTCAACTACAGCCTGGGCCACCATGTGAAGTATCTAGAAACATGTGTCTCAAAAGCCACTTTCATGTTCATATCCATGCAATTCTTGTGTCTAGAAACTTTTTGGCCAAGATAATATTAGTCGTGACATCACTTTTTATTTTTTTGAAAAAATCATTTGACCGATGCTTATTCTGGGATGAGTCAGCAACCAGTAAATCCAGTTATAAGACAGGTTATGACTAAGAGAAGTTAATGACACTTACAAATAAGTCAAACATCACCAATTCTCTGTCAAATATAAAATGGAAAAACATTAAATCGAATACTCCTAAATCCTAATTGCCTACAGTTAACATGGTAAGACTGAAGTGGTTCTCAACACTATATGGGACAAAAATATCACCTCCAAAGAAACGCTTTATCAGGCAATAAAGGTAAACATCAAAGTTCATAGCAGTTAAAATATGATGTAATGCTGGCTATATTCTGTATATTCAAGATACAAATGTACGAGTAACTACAAGAAAATATTAAAGTAACAAACAACAAACTACCTTAAAAAGTGGATCAATATCACCATCAATATCAAACCAGCAAAATTCACTGTTGACCTTCGATGCAGTATATAAAGCAAGTTCTTTCTACAGATTTAATGAGGGATACACAAGTTAGTGGTCTTGGTTTCAGAAATAATTGTATAAAAGAGTAATTTTTTTGTCAAAACACAATAAACGTGATACATAAAGGTGCTACAGATGTAAGTTTCAAAGATATATGTACCAAAGGCAATCAATCAAGAAATACACTGTTATTGTCAATTACCAGGACACAGAGCAGAAAATAACAATGCAGAAAAAAACCCGATCTATTTTAACCCACAAAGTCAGTTTTGGTTGATTATTGCATGTGCCAGCGTCTACTAAAAGAGCTAATAGTGCAGCTTAGACATGTAAACTAAAAACAATATCTCAATGATGTTTGTTGAACATGCCTGTGAATTTAAACAAAATAAAAAATGTCGTAAAAAACAAGGATTAATTATTGCAAGTTATATCAGAGTAAGTGGTTCAACCTAATTCTGAGGTCTAAAGTTAATCTTCTGTCCAAGACTAATCTATGTACAAGGACTTACCTGAACTCTAATTTTGTTGAAATATTATTCAGGAAAATTTTAATTACATATCTAATTTTCGACGTACAAGTGGTGCCAAGTCCATGATGCAGGTAAAATTTTGATATCAAGCACCTTTCCAAAAGACAAAATAATAAATGTCAAATGCAACACCCTACCCAGAGAGGCATAATTGTCTCATTATGTGCTTCAGAAGAAAAGGATAGTCATGCTACTGAATGTCCTAACTCAAATATTAGAGATGGTCTGTTACTGAGACCCCAAACAGGGATCTTGATGAAATAACCCCCCGTCTTATTTGACTTCGGTTGTGGCCACCAGCCTAAAAAAGAAAGGAGACCAAACAAGAAAGGCTTCTGTATGTACTCAGTAGCATCCCACCACATTCTTCCATCTGAAGGAGATCAGAGAAGAGAACAAACAGTTGGAGAAAAACCAGGTTTATGAATTTTTTTTTCTTTTTCATTTTATTTTAATTATCATTTGTGAGTAACACCAGCTCACCTTGCAAGCATCAACTGTTCCAAGAACAGTCTGAAACGATAGGTGCCAGAGGTACTTAGATCCTTGAACAACAACATTCCAACTAACTTTGATAACTGAGATGAAAATGATTTACTGAGATCAATATAGGAGTATCTCAATCAGGCAACATCACTGTCTTGCTTAACTTAAAAAATTAAGACACTAATTGGAAGAAAATATTGCCATCCCAGCAAATGCATCAAATGAGAAATATAAACCTGCAAAATTCCCAAATCTGTATCCAGTTCAGTGACTGAACATTGTGTACACAGAAAGTGAGAGCACAGTAGCTGCAGGTGGTAACCACAACCACCCCACAAAATTCTTGCGTGCTTAGAGGAAAAAAAACAGAAAGCGATAAGAGAAGTAACAAATATGACTTGCCTGATAGAAGGCCAAACATTGTAGTACAAATTTATCCATGGAATCATGTTCCAAATCCAGAACAGCATCATAGTCCTTAACCTAATATGACAAAAAACGAACAAAGTTAAAAAAGCCCATGCATCAGGGACAGATTAGAATGATAGAGCTTGGTGAATACAACTGGTAAACTTGACAAGACATACATGGAAGTATAAAAATTCACCAAGGTATTCGAAACCCTCGAATAATTCACAAGTGTTTCCTTGGCTTAGAAACTTTCAGAATGAATCTTTAAAGCAGAACTAGTCAAAGATTAATCAACTAATATAATTATTTATGAATATAGTGAATTATTTCGTAAATGACTAATTAAGAAAAATTCATGAATTAAAGGCAAATGATACTAACATGCTTATGTTGGTGCCAATCAAACAAAAAAAACAGATAAACTGATTTTTATTACGTGGGCAAGATTAACAGAAATCATTAAAATCTCACTAACAGGTTAAGAAGAATAAAGAGTACCGCATCTCCATATTCTCCAATGGCATGATAGCATGAAGCACGCAAGTATAGACACTCTATATTTGAGTTTTCAATACTGAGTCCAAGAGATAAATCTTTTATTGCAATCCTGTAGTGATCAAACAACCATTAAGTTTGACCAAGCCATGCTGAGAAAAAGTATAGCAAAAAGAAAATTGAGAAGAAATATAAGACAACCAGCAATAAGAATGTAAGCAAACAGCCAACTGACATTTAGCAATGACAACAGTAACAGAGAAATTTTCATGCAATAAGCACTTGTCATTCTCTATTTCTTTCTAGATGCTATTTCTTTAATACAACAACTATGCTTTATATACACAAAAGATTTCATAACCATCAAAATGACATATCAAAATGTAAGGGTAAATCCTTAAAATTGTTCTTGAATCTAGGAAATCGAGTTCAATCAAATAGAAAAAAATAACAGACAGATGATAGCTGATAGATGATCATAAACTAGTTCTTCAATTATGCAAAGGGCAAAAGGAGTGCCAGAATTTGTTACGGCAGAGATTAAAATCAAGCCGTAACAACTTTTTTATGCAAATCATATAGTGGTAAATGGTTCCAGAATGAGAATTTTTTTCCTATTTACAATAGACAGCCAGTTTTGGCCAATTTTTAATTAGGACTTAATCTTAGAGGATGCCTATATGCCATAAAGATTCATATATGAGAGCAATTAAGGCTCCTCTTGTTTTCTTTTTTTTTCTACTAGTTACACCCTATAATACTACCAACAAGCAACTGAATATTTGCATCTGAAAGTGTATAAAGCAACTGGAGAAGGTTCACAATTGTGGACATACCATATTGCCCATGGTTTCACTTACATTTATATTGGCATAGGGTTCCCCAGTCGGATTGACTCTTAACATATATCTAGTGCATCATATGAAGGATAAAGAGTTACAGCTATATAGAAACTCTTTTGGTTAATCCTACCACCTTGACATTAAATAAACTAACTTAAATAATATATCTACTTTGACAACATGCAAGTTATCGAAAACAATCAGACAGAATGACCACATTACCTATGTTGCCCCAACCCATGGTAAAGTAGACCACGTAGGTAATATGCTTTAGCAAACCTGAGGAACATCTCAAGCAAAGAAAGAAGAACATATTAGAAAAGACAGAGATATACCAACTTGATTTGGTCCTTTGGTACTATAGGTAGCTATTAATATGACATCCACATTCACAAACAATTTGCAGCTTTACCTTCCGTTAGCAAGTAAAACTTTTTCAAGACAGTGCAAGGCCTTTTCTGAATTAGCCAAATCCAGGTAGAACTGCATGAAAATACACAAATGTTGAAAAACAATACTAAGGAAGTAATTTAATAAACAAAAGTACTGCTGAACAAAAGCATTTGTTTTTAAATGCATTATAGGCTATAGCCAACAATCTTCAAGAAGTCAGCACACATCTATGTTCTTATAGCCTAACAGGTTAGTATCTTGATAAATTCATCTATTGCAATTTTTTTTTCAAATATATTGTAAATTATCAAAAGACAAAGCCATGCTGCAAAAAAATCTAGAATTAAAGCATGATATAAAAAAATAGAGTGGTTACTATTAGTACGGTAGTACCATTTATTATTTTTTGAATATGTACAGCAATCATAAAATGCTGGCTGCTATAAAGTGCTTTGATGCCAAAGGAAATCTTCCAATATAAATCCAAAATTTAACTCAGATAAGCAAACACCTGGAGGAGGAGTTCTGACAAATAATTTTAACGAGACATATTCTTTTTTGCTCAAAAATATTGGTAGTAAATTAAACAAGTACTTAAAACCCAAGCAGCAAACACAAATAAAAATTAATTGAGGACAAAAAGGAAACAAGGATTACACGAAGAATGATATAGAGAGAAATCATATGCCTATGCATTAAATTTATGGTATAGTAGGATGTACAAATAAAAAGAAGTGCCTCTAATAGAAAAAAAAAATATTATCATGAAACAACAATAATGAGAAACATAGCAGTTTTTTATAAGAAATTTACACACATGATAGGATTTGATGGAAAAACAAATTTGCTTCAGCTTATAGCTCAATCAATTAGGAAGCTAAACAGCATAGATCATCCAGATTCTAGAAAGATGAAAACACCATTTTCAAGGTAGAGAACAGAAGTGCCTTCTCATCATTAGATATATTATCTTTGACTATGTATGATATTCTCAGAATTAACAGATGCCAATAATATCAGAGGAAAAATTCTACTGCAGCATATCCAGAATGAGACAATCTTGTGAAAGAATTTATCAATCCACCCTAGAGGCAGAGCTAATTTCTATCTGGAAAATGCAGAAAAAGATTTTTTCAAGATTTTAGAATCAGTACTAAAGACTAATCTAGTTTAAACAGTAGATGTGCCCAGAAAAGTGTAAAGAATCAGAAATCAGCTACCTGTGCAAGATGGGCCCATGCATCAAGGAAACATTGATCAAGATGTAGTGATTTAAGGTGAGCCTCTTCAGCTTGACCATACTCACCAATTGCTGATAATGCCAGACCCTACGGCCATAAACATTAGCAAATCAATCCTAAAATAAAAATGATATTATGCACATTCCCCCATCCACCAACCAAAATTTGAAACTGCAGATAATGTAATATATGCTACTAGTCATAAGGATAACTGCAGATACTGTAATGATTAAAGGGAAGTATGTCTTAAAAAGTAAGAGAATCAATGTGGTAGCCCTACAATAGTTGGGGACAAATTAAAGACATTTACACATCACAAATCCTATAATTCCGCTTGGATTTTATCAGAAGAAACATAACAGAAAAAGTTAGTCTCAGGCATCTATGCTTTAGGAATTAAAACTAGAACCTCATGAGTATAAGGTTGTCACTGTCTGATTGTTATCAATAAAATTTACAAGAATTGGAAAGGTAACACTTTGATTATTTATATAGATAGCTCTAGAAGGAAAATTCAGATGATTCAAGAAACAGTTTATTTTTCAAACTAAGATGTAGTACCAGAAGAAATGTTTTTCAGAAGGGAAAACAAGAGTGAAACAAAAAAATTAAAAGCACATAAAAGGGGTCATAGCAAGAAGACAAGTCCTTAATGTGACAATACTTTTTCAGTTTGAATAAATTAGTTCCATGGGACAACTTTAACCACTGCTTTACTAAGCTTGTGAGCTGTGACACAGCAAGGCCCTAATTATGATGAGAACTTCAAATGAAACTCAATAGATAAGATAAGAAGATCAATTAGGAAACCAGTAAGATAAAGCCTTGGCAGACCAACAAAATTAAACAACAGGCAGGAAACACAACCACAACAAAAATGAGAAGATTGATAGAGTCAAGATGTGCACTTCAAGAATACAGTATTAAGTAAGAAAGATTGTATAACAAAAATAAGAAATCACAAATATCACCATCACATCATTCAAGAAAGAAGGCACAGAGGAACTACTAGAACTATGGAGATAAAAATTGTTATGGCAGATCCAACATGTATGTAAAAGAAGAGGTTGAAAACAATGTACTAAGACATCTAAAAGTTCCAATTAACAGTATCATCATCTTCTAATAAAAAGGCATTAAGAACGAACATAGACTTTGGTAGAAGGATCATAAAAGATGCAAGTCTCAAGAATACATTTGCAATAACTAGTAATAGCTGATAGAACTTCAAGTGACTTCTTAGATAAGCTTAATTATCTAAAGGTTAAATAATATGCTTACAGAAAAGGAAATCAGGCAAGATACTTAGATAATACTTACCAGGTATGTGTAAGCAGATTTATTTTTCTTAGCACGTTTTATGCATCTAGAAAGATCATCAACAGCAGCATTATAGTCCTTGAATTTAAAATTAACAATTCCTGCAACAAGCCAAATTCATGATCAACTTGGAAAGCATTTTAAATTCTAAAAGTACTACACCAGACAACAATAAGAGTTTTCTTTTTCAACCTCATTAAGAAAAGTTAATATCCATATGTTAAATAAATTACTACTTAATTTATCTGTAGTTGAACCATAAGTGACTTTATATTTTCAAACCAGGAGGTAGAATCAACAGTGAGGAAAGAGTACTTCACTAAAAGAAACCACATTCGATTATTTCCAAGCTGCAGCATGTCATAGCACAAAAAAATTTCAACCCAATTTGGAAACTTAACCTGCCAGATAAACTATGACAGGTTAAAGTGTGCATCACTGGTGTTGCTCAATTCATGTGTGTATCCAAATAACCCAATTGTTCAAGGTGTTAAATCATGAAAGGTGCACCATTAAATGTTTTGGCTATTTGTTTAAACTTTGAAGTGTATGCCAAAAGTTAGAAGGCTATAAACCAAGAAACCTTTTGTCTAGACAGAATAGGGTTCCAAGAATAACCTTGCAATGGCGTAGAGAAAAACGTGACAGTTCACATTAGCCTGCAACATTTGAAAATGTGCTCAAGTGGTCAAAAGAACACTGACCTCTTTCATGTAAAATATCTGGTGAGTTTGGTTCAAACTCCAATGCCTTGGTTAAGTCTTCTATGGCCTGAAAATTATAATATGCATACGTGTTGGATAAAAGCTATAGGACCATTCAAAGTGAATCATTTTATTAAGAGTAACAGAAACAAAAAAGCAATATCATTTTTTTGCCTGTAAGATTCCAAAATTCATAATATATTTGGTATCAGCCAAAAAAAATCTTGTATTAATGCATTTCTGAGTCCTGAAAAATGGAAGAAGAAGAAGAGGAAACCAGGATTCTGTGTGAAAATGCATTAAAAGTACATCTTGCAACAACCGGTTACAAAACCGTTAGACCGGTGTGGTACCAGACTACCAGTATACCATACCGTCCTGTATAATCTGATATCACTAAAAGAATCATAAAAAATGAAAACCGACCAGCGGCACCATATAGTTATATCAGTTCTTCATTAGACTGGTTATTAACTGTAAGTGCATAACTGTCTGACCAGTATCTGAAACCTTGGTCCATTTATTATTAAACATGATATATCATCAAACATCAGTATTGACAAATGACCATAATCAGTAAGATTGCTCCTACTTGGGCCAGTGCTTACATCAGTATTGTATAGAGTGATTCCTTTTCCTCTCAATCTTAAAAGCTCATCAGTATAAAATGCCACAATCATCGTCTACCAAGAGTCAACTCTCACATCTGCACTCTGACTAATCAATTTAAGGCTTGACAAAATCAGTATTTTCTTGTGTCCTAGAAGCAGATGAAAGATCTAAAGACATAAAGCACAAGATCAGTTAAAACAAATAGCCTAGCATTGTTTAAGGGTGAAATGCACATTTGATTTTTTTTCAAGAGATAAATCAGATATTTAATGGTTTGCATAGTTATCTACAAAATATTCTCAGATTCTAAGAAACATATAACTCAAATTATTTTTCGGAATTTCTGAGGTATCTTCAGAAATTCAAGCTAGAAAGGAAATATTTTAGTTTCCTATTAAATTCTTCTGATTCGCATTTCTTTAATTCAAGAAACTCACAATCAATAGAAATTTCAATCAGATTAATCAAATTAGAAAAAGGATTTAACTTTGCCATTATCTTTCGTATGCAAACGATGCTTATATTTCTCTTCCAGTGTTATGTATTTTAGGTTGTACCCCAAGACATGTTACAAATCTGTACTGATTTTCTCTTTCAAACACCAACACAACAATTAAGATTTTCAGATGCTCTGTCTTAAAATATCTGTCCAGAATATTTTCCATTTAATTAGAAGGATATTCCCACTTTGTATCAATTATATTGCAACATTATCATCATGGTTATGACTGAAACCAGTGGAAATTTGTAATTCATGTAAGAATACTAATGTAAATCATCTATTCTCTGTATCACAATGATCTGGTCATATCTATCACAGTATCACTATATCCAACCATAAGATCAAAAGTCAAATTCCCCATCCCTATGTTTCATAGTTCATACACAATCATAATGCTCAAATTCCAAACAGTTGCATCTAACCACTTCACTCACCTGAAAAGACAGAATAATATTCTAATTGTCGAGCCTGTAAGATTAACCCAGTGCTCTTTCTTTACCATCACTATATAATATATCAGGTATCAGTTCCTTTCTACTGCTTTCTGTTGTTAAAGATGTGATATTTGTCATGTAAATCAAGCTGGTAAATTTTATTTATAAAAATAGATTAAAATGTAGTACCTAGACAAAGAGATTGAAGAATTGGAGTACCAAATAAATAGGATCCTGCCATCTTCATGTAATTATTCCATGCACTAGACCAGTAGCTATTTGCAGCTGATAATATTCTACATAAACCTAATAGAAGTATATACTATATATATCTAATAACTAAAAAAATTATAAAAAGACTTGCCTCCATAAATTCTCCCAACGCAGCACGTGCCTGCCCACGTCGCTTCCAAGCTTCCCCAGCCGATGGATTGGATTGTATAGCCTGTTGGAGCCATAACAAATACAACTCAGAAAATATATGTCTAAATTCACTAGTGATTCACATAAATTTTCTACCATGGTGAAGTCAGCAATCGCAGCATCAAGTTCTCTTTGGAATGCATATGCTGTTCCTCTTCCGATTAAAGCCTCCGGATATTCAGGAGTTTCCCTTAAGATCTGTCACGCATACAACTAAGTGAAGCAAATTCACTTGTTATAAGAGAGAGAGAGAGACAGAATCAAAAAATGCAAAAGCAGGTATGACCTGATCAAAAATGGAGAGAGCCTGGTCATAATTTCCTTCATTTACCTGCAAAATCATGTCAATGACAAAAAAATGCTTAAAATACAATAAGGATCTCAAGCCTTCTGAATGATAGAGGCAATGTCAAAAACCAATTTAGTGATCAATGGAAATAAGCTTAAGATGCTATATCTATCCTGTCCCCTATAACATCAGGTACATAATTTAGCCAGTTGTTCAACTGTGCATCAGTATGAAATTGTTTAGTTGCACTATGAATTTGGGAGATGGCTATCAGTTACCAACTACAATAAGAAATCAAGTCAACCAAGTTACCAACTAATTATGGGATCAAAGACTTGCCAAAAGAAATTAGTGTTATGTTAGAATGTTCATAAATAAGTTCACTAATGCTATACCAATCAATTCCTGAAATGCAGGCATTGATATAGGAAAATTCAGATTTGTTTTCCTACAGTGCTACAATTAGTCTCTACATTATAACAAAACGGCGTCAGTGCTTAAATGGCTTTCTTTAGTATCTACATTCGGTCTTTGCATTATGACAAAATTAAGGCTTTTTAGTTCAAGAATTCTTTGCTCTGAGATTGCCTACCATTCCATATGATGCACGTTCAGAGATTTAGGAGAAACGTAGTCATTACTCACTAAAACAGAACTAAAATAAAACAACAAAAGTCCTCAAACAATTAAAACCATCTTTGAACAGGCAGACTCGTGGGTTGCAATCAGGAGACTGTCAACAAGGAATCATATGCAACAGCACCAGTCAAATACTACAAGGAACATCAGAAAATCAACATAGCGAAATCAATTTCCTTTTCTTTGCACATGGTTCCTTTTCTTTGTATCCACCAATCCTACCTAAGAACAAAAATCATTTCATCACTACATCCATCAACAATAGCTGATTTCACGTCAGAGTAACAGATGTAAGATGAGCAGACAAGGCGGTGATGTTAAATGATAATCGGCATGGATATGCACAAGACAGGAGCAGAAACATGCAACCATGCAAAAAACACTTCCTAGGATTTAACAAGAAAAGGAATGCCAGAAAACTATTTTGTAGAATTAAATAACTCAAAAATTAAGACAACAAGATAACCAGAATTATCTTATTTCTTGCCACTGCAAACACGGTATTGAAATAACAGAAATGACAGGAAGGCAGCAGCAAATGTAAACCATTCAAACCTTAGTTTCATACTGTCCAGTGAAGGAACAGAATGTGATACCACCCACAGTTGGTAGAACCTAAAATATGTTCTTTTTTTCCATTTAATTTACCAACCTTTTAACGATGACAAAGTGAAATCGGGAGATATAACAACATGAACAGGAGTATTATACTCGAAGAATTCCATGGCATAGAATTCCTCTTCCACAATTCTACATCTTTGAGAGATAAGAAGGTTTCCTCCATAATTGTCAGTAAACACTGGCAAGCTCAACTACCAGTGACAAAGAAAATCACAGCCAGAAGCAAGGTTCGTAATTTCGTACCGTACCAGAGTATCAAGTTCAACTCGGTATGATACGGTACGAGTATACCGAGTGATACATTTTGGCATACCGCTCTATATATATATATATATATATATAATAAAGTTAAAAATAAAAAAAGGGGCGATGTCATGTCGTTTCTTCTCCCCGCATTGCCTAAGTCATGAGGCACCCTTACGCCAACTCCTCGGACTTAGCTGGGATTGCCTAAGTCATGAGACGCCCTTGTGACATATGCGTCTGCAAAGGCTTAGCCTAGTTGTAACCTCGTACAGGTGTCGAAGGACCTGTAAAGCAGAAAGTTGATTAGATTGAAAACGAACGACGGACAAATCCCGACGTCTCGCGAAGAGGGAAGCTTTACAAGCAATTCAGCGAGCACGTTGAGTGCAAGAGAGAAAAGATAGGAAGAAGAAAACAAGGACTTTAGAAGGTAGAACGAACAGTTGCAAGTCCACAAACAACTGCTCACCAAGTGCCGGGCGCGAAGGCAAGTTCCCGTCAAGTTAACATACGAACTTGTGAAGATTGTTCAACACCCGACACTATACCGAAGCCCCATTCAGCACTATGCCACCCGGGGGGTTCCAAGGTGTTGAGATGGCTAACGTTTTGCGTACAACTGCGGTGTGCAGAAAACAAGCCATGGCACACGAAAACGGAGCCATTTTAGGGCAATTCGGCGCAGCGAGCGATCGCACTACAGCGATGCGAACTATTGTTGCTTACATTTTCCAAGCAAAGACACACAAAACCAAGACAAAACATGCTGCCATGTCCCTGTACAAGCATGCAAAAGCAACGAATGGTTAGTTGAATGAAATTGTTGCGGGTGCGCAACGACTGTTCGTGACAGCATGGCGAGAAGAAAACCTCGAAGCCTCGGCGACGTCGCCGAGGTTTCTTCTCCCCACGCCAAGGCTTCTTCTCCCACCGCGGATTAGGAGAAGTCGCTGACGATGCCGAGGTCTCCCCGCGAAGCCTCGGCGACATCACCGATTTATGGGGCGGAAACAGCCCCAATCGATGATACCAGGCGGTCCACATACCGGTCTGCTAGTGGACCAGTACGTACCGAGCAGTATAATTCGAAATTAAAAACCCTGGCCAGAAGCCACATTAACGGCCTAAGTTCAAAGCATCATGACAAATGGCAAGTTTCATTTTTTTTCTATTTCAATTGCAGAAAAGTTCTACAGGTTCTCTCCCTTTAAGAATGGGTAGCATCAACCAAAACTACCCAATTGCATCTAAATTAACTTTTTTTTTCTATTTGTTTTACAAACTTTCTTCTTCCCTATTTAAGTGCCGCCAATACACTAGCAATGCCAGAGGCTGACTGGCATAGCCAATGCCATTAGTAATTCAAAACTTTATCATGAATACAATGTGAGAGGATGTGAGATAGGAAAGTAATTGCCACATCCTCTCTTGAAAAAATATCTACTTCCGCTGCTCCCTAGAGCATATTTTTACTTGGCGATGGACAAATTATCAGGTAGCACCTTCGCCAAAAGCCAGCTGGAAAGGAACTTCCACATGTATTAGCAAAGGCGAAAGTGTTAGAAGTAGTTTCAGTCTTTGTCAAAACAGTTGCCCAAAGAAGAGACGTTTTAACAACTATAGAAAGAGAATGCTCAGATATGAAGCTCAAGTATATCAACCAGTTCACCTCATATGCAGCTAAATGTACTTGCAGGAGAGAGCAGTTAAACTCCTGGTGCAAGTTCATAACAGATCAGCAACATATTGTGATCTCCCACAACTTTGAGCTAAAAATTTCTTTTACTAGTTTAGTTTGATGACAAATTCTATACATTCAATGAATTCTTATGCTAGTTCAGTTTGATGACAAATTTCTGGTGCAAGTTCATTACAGATCAATCAACATTTTGTGATCTATCACAACTTTGAATTAGATACTTCTTGTATTAGTTCAGTTTGATGACATTTCTATGCATTGAATGACTTCTCCCATTTCATCCAGACTTGGATGATCTCCAGCAGGTCCTTGGCTCAATAGCCTGGATATCTCGACACTTTGCATCCGTATAGTGGGGTGAAGAACTAATGCTTGCTTAAAAGCTTCGCTTACTAGTTCAGTTTAATGATAAATTCTATACATTGAATGATGACGTTATAAAATTATATACTGCTGGTTGTCACTGTTTACTCCAAGATCCTGTCAATTATTTCAAGTTCCTCATATTTCAAATATCTTAATAGCTGCATGATTTCTCAAAAGCATAGCCTTTTAAGTAGTTTGCAATACACTAATCACCAAAGAGCCATTTTGCAACATGCGATATGAACTATCATAACACTTTTAAGCTGACACAGATATGCAATGTTCTAACGGGATGAAATGGGAACCTCATCATGAGATAATTGAAGTTAATAATTCTAGAGAAGATTGGCACTAGCACAAAATTAGATTGCCTCCTTAATATGTTTACCATGAACATCTACAACGTCAACAAGACAAAAGCCATACTACAGAATAAAAGACATACCTGCGATATGCCTCGTGATAATCGGAGATCCAAGCTTATCGACTTGGTCTTCTGAATACCAGTAACAACAACCTTCCGACCCAATTTGGTAGTGTCATTGTACATACTGAAAATATCTGTGCTATCAACAGGTTTGCTGCAGATTTCATGTGTATTCTCTAATTTATGACCGTTAACTGACTCCTTGTCAGATGGTGTAACACCGGAAGAATTCGTGGTGTGTTCAGCATTAGTAGTTGATGAATTTTTTATACGAGAATCTGTGACATGATCTTCAGAGACGACAACTTTTGTAACACCGCTAGAACCATGGTCTTCACAGATAATAGCTTCAGTTTCAGTAGTTGACACATTTGTACTTGAGGAATCCATGATGTGATCTTCAGAGACAACAACCTTTGTTTCACATGATGATGCATCCATCGAGTGGTCTTCACCAGCAAACGATGGAGATTCCCTAGTACCTGCCAATAGCTCTTCCAACTCAAGCAATTGTTTCAAATCTGTCGAATCACAAACAGCATTTTGGTAGCCTTCCTCCCATACATGCAAAGCTTCTTCTTTTCTTCCCAAAGCTGACAGTGCATTGCCTAGTCATAATAGATGGAACTCAGAATCTAACATGAGTACAATAATATAGTTAACCATAAAAATTAATTACTCCTTGTAACCCACAGCAGCAACTGCTTGGGTAACAAAAACCTGGAAAATGCATAACATTAAAAAAATACAACCACGCTAATATAGGACCAGTGGTGTAAGGTCATTCAACAATATAGAATCACATCGTGCCCTTGTTGGGCATCAAGAACTACAGCAGGAAGCAATAACGAAACCTACAACAGTCCAATAAAATCCAGGGACCTTTAAGTATGTAAGCTTGAAGGGCATTAGGATTCAGCTGCAGAGCCTTATCACAATCCTTGATCACGTGCTTGTGCAACTCCAACCGGCTGTAGCAGAAGGCTCGATTGCTGCCATCCCCAAACGAAACAACATCAGAAGAAAAGACAAAAAGGAACATATACATGCTAAAGAATGGGATCGAATCGGGACCAGATGTCTTGGACCAACGAGGACTTGGCAACGATGGAATCCAGCACTCGAATGGCCTTGGACCAGTTCCTGCCGCTGCAGAGCCTCGCGAGCTCGAGGCGCTCGTTGGCCGCGGGAGCCATCGTCACTTTCTCCCTGCCTACGGGCGGGGGCGAAACCCTAATTCGCCACCGCGATCGCCAGCTCGTCAACGGGCGGAACGAGAAGGTAGAGAGCGAAGGGGAGGCTGACGATTGGGATTTGGGGCTTCTCTTACCCCACCCCTCATCTCCACCTTTATTCTATGTAGCCACCCCCCAATTCTTCAATCATACGCCCCCGAATGTGCTGACATCGCCACTGTGGACGAGTTTATAACTCCTTTTTGTGGTCGTAGGATCCGATGTGCCGAAGATACCGTCGGGACATCCTGACCGTCCATATAGGGGAGCGAGATTTTGATGGGTGGGAATGGGAACATGCGGTACTGTGTGACGCGGGGAATGTCCAAACGACACGCAACGTAGACGTGGGACCCAAGCAACGCATCTTAACACGAGCTGAGACCCGGACGTCGTCCTGCAAGCATCGAGCTCATCCGATGGGTACGCTACGGAAGAGGAAGGAGGCCAGTCTGCCTGTCACATTGTTGACATCAGAAAAGAATAAAAAGGATAAAGCGATCAGAATATTGTGATCTGAAAAAGAATATAAAAACAAAACGTGAACATAACCCCCGAGTTCGCTTTTGCTGTCTTCTCCCTCGTCCCAAAATATAATGAAGTGCTACGTCCCGACATTTAAGGCACGTTGTGTTGATGTAAGATTCTGGCATCATCTCTCATCGCCGGCAGATCGTCTCAGGAACAAATCGGAAATACATACTCAACTTCAACTGCAGACACTCCATCAAAGATAGAAACTTTGAGCTTCGACAAGGAGCATCACACGACTCGGCAGTGGCGCACTTGAAACCCTGTTAGAAATAAATAGGAAAAAACTAATCAAAGGACAACAGAGAACCAGACCGAAACAGGAAACTTGAGCGACGGAGGTTTGAAAGACACTTCCAAACCATATATATCCACAGCATGGTCAAAAATGGATTTTTCATTACTTTGAAGCTGGAGCACATTCTTGACGGTCCTTAGAACAGCAGCCCAACGAGAAAATACCAAAGGGGCTTGGGGACGGGACACATCAGCCGCTCCAGTTAAATGAGACCACCTAACTAACTACAACCAAAGCCTTGCCCACTTTTTGTTACTTCTATGTACCAATACTGCCAACCCTACTGCGATGTTCCTGTAATGTACAGAAAAGCTACACATCTGTTACACTTGCAACCGTTGCCTGGTCATCCGCATACCATTACTCCTTTGGCCACTGAAATCAAGCACGCGTGGCCCACCTGTCCAGTCTTCATCATCCACATCGTCATCATCTTCCTCACCTTTTCGTTGGGCAGCTTTTCCGCCTCTCGAACTTCTTGGAGTAGGGCGTTTCCTCTTGACACTAGCTGTATATGTAGAATAGTCTATTGCGTCTTCTCTCAACGATACCTTGAACTCCTGCAATTCAACAACAAAGTTATCATGAGTGCAGTACAGAAAACTCGGAGAAGGTGAAAAAAAAGAAAAAGTTCAGACAAGGCAACGAGTTAAGGTTGCAATGGCTGAAGCCATTACGGAGCCCTCAATAGTAAAAATTGGCATTCATGACCTCAAGTATCATCTTATGTTCAATTCTTGTAACAGAAGTTGAAAAGATCCATGTTTGTAAATATAATGAATCTTAATTACTGTTGAAAATTCAAAGAGAAGCAGTACAAATCCAAAATATTTATGAATATGTTGTCCTCAAGGAGAAAACACCCTCAGCAACGTGGTACTGGAACTCCAAACAACAAACCACTCACACCCACATCACCAGACGAAAAAATAATTAAAAAATGGAAGCAAGACTGAGAAGTAAATGAATCCGTTGCTATCAGAAGGAATCAACTACTTGACAAAAATATGGTTAGAGAATCTAGAGTGGACCGATACTGGTGCTGCAAAAAAAGATGGTAGTCCTTGCACAGGTTTCTGAAGCGAAAGGAACATGACAGATAGTAGTAGTATATACAAATTGACTTCACAAACCTTCAGATGGATAAACATGATAATCAATAGGAAATAAAGGGGCTGTTCTGAAATATTTAGATCCACCAAAAGCATTCTACAAGGGAAAATTTTCTCCATATGATTTCCATCTTCTTAGGGTTCCAAATCAACAAAAGGAGATGCACCCAAACCAAAAGTCAACACTTGAGGTGGCAACAAATATGTAATCAATAAAATCAGCTGTTGGAAACTAAAGAAGATAAGAATGCTAACATACTTAAAAGTCAGTCAAAATGAGGAAAATGTGCAAGCAAAAAAATATGGAATAGTTCCACTCCAGAATCTATCAAGATTACTTCTCAAGTATGCCTAAGTCAGGTACCTGATACTTTTCAACCATGGCTTGATAGGATGTAGGCAAACTGATTGGAGTGTCACTAATGTTGAAAGGAATGTTTTGCTTAGAAATCGTCTCTCCAGGCTTTGGAAGCTCCTTTAAAGAAAACGCCTAATAGAAAGAATTCAAAATATCAAAATCTCTGGAACAGTAATCTGCATGCTCTGTTGTTGAAGGGTAGAGAACTGAAAAACTTCATTATGAAAAAACTAACCTGACACCTGGCATCATTTAGACCATACACAATTTTCAAGTGCCTTTTCAGCTTCAATAGGAGTTGCAGAGCAATTGCCTCATGACAATCAGCCTGAGTAGCAAAACAATTTCCAATCATTAAAAAAGTTACTAGGAAGAGAAGAGCAAGATGACATGCTAATAATGCCAAATGCCCCCATCAACAAACAAGATTGTGCAAATAAATAAAATGCCACAAAAAAACATAAGAGTTCATATCAAATTTCCAACATCACTAACAGTATAATTAAGACAAGATAATGCAATTGTTCTATATTTTTAAACTCTAATGTATGAGTAAGTTCCACAGGCCACGATCTTTTTATCAGAATATATGCAAGGTCAAAGGCTACATTATTTGTTGCAATTGACAAACTGATATTATGAGATAGCATGATAATGGGGCAACTAGAAATGATCCTTACATTTTACCCTGTTAAACACAAGGAAGGTTGATATGAAGGGGCAACAATAACAACAATGACAAGAAATAAGTATACAATAATGAAAATATCAATAATATATGAAATTATGAATCACAATGTTATGCAGTTAGGAGTCAACATACACGAAAAGTTGTGTCCTAAGTTATGATGGATGTTTAGTTACCAGAAGACAAAAGGTAGAGGGAGATCTCTCAAACAACTTTATTAAAAACAACAAAAAGAGAATAGGTAGCTCCTCATTTGACTGAAATGGCAGTAAAAGATCCATGTCCAAGCACAAGTTGTAGGGAACTTAAGGCTTGTTGTAATGCAGAACAGCAACAATGCATTATTCGACAGTTTAAATTGCAAATGATCCATGGTATTACATTTAAACATATAACAACCTGAAACTTCTGCAGGTCTTCTGTTGAAATGCCACGTGAGCTGTCTGACATCTTGTCCGCAATCTCTGTGAAATCATGCTCAGATATATTAGGCCAACCAGAATTGGCATTACCTTTGTCAATTTCACTGGGCATCTCCAATGAATCCCGGTGTTGCGAAACAGAACTCCAGGTTTTCATGTTTGCCTCGAGTGCGCCTGCCCTAACTTGTATTATTCGATTTATATCATATATCAAGTAAAGGGGTTCATCAGGACATGTGAAAGGGAGAGATGCAAGAATCTCTGTGCAATATCTGCGAAATGGAAATGACAGTTAGAATCAACACCAACTAAGTTCTTCAAGCCAAATAACAACTTTGTAACTTACACAAGAAAGCCAATCGGTAAATAATTCCCACCACCAGACTCAAATTTCCTCACTATTGAGTGAATGAACTTGTTCCTTGCAATACGATTTCCTCGAATAAGCCTGTATATACGAGATATACCTGGCCGGACATATGCTATCGGATTACCATCAGATTTACCTTTTTGAAGTCCTGAGACCAAATTATGATTACTGGCTATGCACTGAACAAATTTAAATGACATCTGAAGGCCATCACCCAAACGGCTTTCAAAAAAAGCAGGATACCTGCAAAACCAATCATGTTACTAAACAAACACAATGTCATTCCAATTTGACTAGTAAACTTGATAAGTCTATTGAGTTACATGATCATACTTATCATTCATGTTCATCAACAAGTGATGGGCCAATTTTGAATTCACATCCAGCGGATCAATTTCAAGAGCAATGAGGTATGGAACACACGTAATAGGATGGACTAGTCCTTGACGTAGTACAATTTCCACAATCTGAAACAAATGTGAAAAAGAAATCAACACAAGCAAAAACAATAACAGCATACATTTTAATAAAGCTGAGAAATAGAAAGAAAGATTTTCATAAAACTAAAAAGTAGCTTTGCTATGAAAAAAGATGAGAAATTCAGAGAGTTAATACCTTGAGAGAAGTTTGACGAATTTGGTCATTTCCATCCAAGCATCTTTCAAGAATACTGTTCCAATAAAGCTGAACAATTCCTCCACAAATATTAGTATCACCTGCACCTGCAGCTACAGGCACTTTGTTTCCAGCATCTTCAGCATGTGAAGTTGCATTCTTACTGCCACAATCTGTACCCATTTTGGTTTCCGCATCAAGAAGATATTCATACAGGTTTTGCAATGCTTGCGTCTGGTGTGAAAAAAAAAACATCCCATTCAAATAAAGGGAAAGAACAAAGAATGTGCATAACAAAAAATGATGTACCTTAAGCCTGAAATCAGCACTAGAGGCCAGTGAGGCCTCTAATATTTTCCCAATGTCTTTTTCCAACATATACTCAGGACTAGAAATCAATATATAGCCTAATGCCTGCAGAGCATTAGCATATGAATTCAAGATCCAAGTTCCAAAGAAAAACTTTCAATACACCAAATTCTTTGATAATTTTCACTTGCCTGTAAAGCTCGAACCTTTAAGCCAAAGTCGTCCATGACAAGATATCTTTTCAGTAATGAGAGACTCTTGTCAATATGAACATGTTGACTATCAGTCTTAACTATTAGCTCTCCCCCATACCTTAGAAGAAGCCCAAGGCAGAAAAGTGAACGACCCAAAAGCTGGATATCGTACACAAGTTCAAACACCATCAGATAGGTATATCAATGGATTCAAGTTCTCTACTAGAAGAACGAAATGCTTAAAGAAGAAAACAATCCATAGTCATCTTTTGACAACAATAATATTTCTTAAACATCTCCCCATTGATTTGTTGGCCACAACAAATGTTTAAAAAAAAATTAATGTGAACAAAAATAATATAAGCAATATTTTATGGTCAATTCTTAAAATATGTTTCATAGGTAAACATCTCAAATAGTCGATTCATTATTTCTTTAAAAGAAGTAGCTTTCTAATCACACATTTCTGGTTCCGTGCATTAAAAAAACTGAGCAAATAAGCAACAAATATGAGAGAAAATTTCCAATTCATCCTTTTTGAGGCTCTCATAATCTACCTGATACAGTTTTCTAATTCTAAGACCAGCAAGGTTTCCATTAGAACATAAGTGAAAAATAGAAAGTTTAGTTAAATACAAGAACCATTAATCTTTCAACAATCTGCCTTTATCATGTTTCTATTTTATAAACATTACATTTGCAAAACGTCATAAAAATATCAAATAAAGATGTTCCTCAACTAATACCAACAAACCCAAGATAAGGAGAATACACATGTCGTTCCAATTGTGTCGAAGTAAAAAAGTAGACTCTGCTGAAAATTTGAAATAGTAGTGGTAAAGTCTCAATTGTGTTAACTAATTCAGCTTTTTGTTTAATCACAAGTTCAAACAATTATAAAGAGAATTTCCACGACAGAAGTTCTCAATATTCCAACATTGCAACAGAAGACATGACAAGGATAAGAAACCAAGAAAATAGAATAATTTCTAATCTAAGGCATAGTAAAAAAAATTAAATATTTAGTTTTGCAACCAATGCAAAGATGGTTACCTGCATATTATCAGAACCTGAACCTTGCAAATGCTTGAAGAAAATGTGAATCAAATATTCGACAATACTTGAACCTTTGCCAGCAATTTTACTAAGCGAACAAAGGCACCTAGAGGGGGAAAAGGAACAATCAAAATCAACATTTTTATCACAGCTAAATGATGCAGGTAAGCAAAATAAAGAAGAGGAAACAGAAATCCTAGGATCATTACTACTGAAGCATGCAATATATTGCAACAAACTTCTGTCAATAACAAAAAAACAATGATGTGGAATAAAACAAATATTAGTCATACAGCATCTAAAATCCCTAGCTCGATGGTGTTAGGGGCTGTTCAAAGTATCACAGAAGAAAAAGCTGTTGGTTAGCAAAATAGATGCTCCTTACTGCTTTAATTTTAAATTTTTAATGTTCTACAGTACAACACTATCGGTACAAAAAGCCTGCAAATAACACCATCTACCATCAGATGAATCCAATTGAACATAAACTGAACTGATCTAGGCCGACCTACCTCTGCACATGCTACATTTCAATTAACAAAAAGGTGGTCACATGTATGAGGCTCCAACCAATGTAAGGCCAGGAGACACTCAAGGCATGCAACCTTAACAAAGCTCCAACTGTAATAGCAAATTTCATATTAGATAATCTGTGTTGCAGCCACTGGACACTGAGCACCAATGAATAAACTAGTATGAAAGTGAATCCACCGAGCAAAAGAGCAAGTACTAGTCGAATTAACTTGATTAAGAAACAAGACACCAGAAACATGAGGGAACCAGTTTGGAATGCGTCGGATTGAAGATATCTAAAGATCAAGAAACTATTTAAAAGATTGAGAACTGTAACATCCAAACTGGACCCAGTCTTAGAAGATTTAATAGTCACTTTCCATCTTCAAGAATTTCAACAAATTTTAGCATCAAAAAACCAGTGATTTAAAAAGGCGCTCGGCCGCTCGCCTAGGTGCTCGGGCGAGGCGAGGCGAGGCCCGAGCGCCTCACTTCATTTCCAGGCGGCGTGCTTCAAAGAGGCGTCGCCTAGGCGCTCGCCCGAGCCCAGGCGTCGGGCGCTTCAGGCGAGCGCCTAGGTTAAACCAGGCGACCAAACCAGCGGTTTAGGTCTGGTTCGGTCTCCGGTGCTTTATTTGGTTCAATCGAACCAACTAAAGCACTAATATCAGCGTGACTTCCCCAACCATAACCTTGCTCGTCGTTCACGCTGCTCGCTGCCACTGCCACTGTCGCCACTCCCGCTACCCGTTGCCGCTCTCGTTGTCGCTGTCGCTGCCACTGTCGCCGCTCGTCGCTCCCACTCCCGTAGCCACGGCCGCTGTTGTCGCTGCCTCTGTCGCCGCTCACGCTGCTACCACTGTCATCGCTCGCCGTTGCCGCTACCGCTGCCGCTCCCGCTTTTCTCAGCACCCTCGGTCTTCCCTTACACTCTTCTCTTCTCTTTCGCTTCTCCTCTTTCGAAATCGAAAGTATACTGTTAACAATATACAGTATATTGTTAACTGTATATAGTATAACACTATTACTTTGATTTTAATACTATTAATTTTAATATTATTAATTTTTAGTGTCTCACTTCGCTCGGGCGAGCGCTTAGCGCCTCGGGTGTTTTTAGACCGTGGCACCTTTTGGCACCTAGCGCTTTTAAATCACTGCAAAAAACTAATCAGTGAAGCCCATAATCAAATTTGACTCTTGAAAATTGATAATTTGATAGAAACCCAAATCATGCTTGAGAGGATTTGTTAGAGGTCATTAGCACATTTCATTTTAATATGCATCTCGAATCTCGATGACACATAATGTGGAAATGAGTTATGTGGCATTGATTGGAGCAGGTCTGGATCAAGTTTAAATTTTGTTCGAGTTACAATAGTTAGTACTACAAGATTTTTGCAATATTTCAAACAGGGTCAAATATAACCTAGTATGGTCTTAATTCGAGTCTGTAAATATGTTACACAGATAAGCAATAGCTGCATGGGAAGACTGTAACTTTTAGGAATTGCAGATATGTTTGTAAAGTTCCCAGTTGCATGAAGAATTACACTTTGTAGCAGTTATGTTTTTGAAAGATTATTCTAGTACCTACTTGAAGAAGCATACAAAATTAAGCTATCCAATAGAAAACAACCACCCAACTACATTATTATAACTAAAAACTTGGGTAACAAGCGATAAAAGAAAATTGAGGCTGTTTCATCTTTTGATCATGTTTAATTAACTACAAGAAGTCTTAGAGACAAAAAGAAAAGCAGATAGTTGATTAATAACAAGAAAGGCACGAAGTTTATGATAATGTGAAGAAGGACTGCAAGGAAACAGCAATCACCAAGTGAGCTATCGTACTCATCATCTGGAAAAATATCATTCAACATTAAACTTAGTTGTCAAATTCCATGATAACGACAAACAAATTTCCTTTTTTATGAGTATCATTGAGATGCATATTAAAATGGGCTTCCTGGTATTAGAAAACATGGAAAGTCAAAGATGCACATGTGCATGAAAAATATCTTTCATTAAACTTCGTTGTCAGATTCCAGGATAGCTACAAAGCAAATTTCAGATGAACTCACTGGTAAAAGAAAACACAGATAGTCAAAGATGCACACATGCATGACCTAGATAATAATTAGATGATAACACAGAATGGTAATGATAATTTACAAGTAGAATCAAGAAAACAAATCAAACAGTACAGCAAAAAAACAGTATGCCACATATTCAGGTAAATCTAATTTTTCGCAAGTTCTATCATGTGAACATGTAAAGCAATAAATAAAAACCATGAGGTAATAAGATTCAAGCCTCAATTCCCATTATGCATAAAAAAAGATATACACCTCTATGCTGAGCATTTAGGAAAATAACCGTGTTATGAAATATAAATGACAAATGGTATAATCAAATGCGCAATGAAACATAACCTACTTGATACAAGCATGAACGACTGTCAGGAAAGAATGGCGAACAATCATGTGCTTAAGGTCCTGTTCAAGTTCCTCAATAACACTCTGTGGTGGCTTCCGAAGCAATGGCAGAACAGCATTGACTACATATATTATGCTTTCGAGCAGCTGAGCAACTGATTTGTTGTCAACCTAAACAATGCAGGTTGAGGAATCAACCAAAAAATAATTAAGATAATACTACCATTTGCAAGAACAAACCTTTATACGAAAAAAAAAAAAAAAAGATACATGAATTCAAAATTTGGAATGAAGTAAATGACTATATACTGAAGTGATGGCAAAACCAAACCAAACAAGGTTATGTTTATAGGATACATGACAATTGATGCATACTAAAAGCCTAATACCAAGACTTGTAAAAAGGATATTCCAGTAATTATGGACTTCCTGCATATTTAACAGAAACAGAATAAGAAAGCTGCTTTATAAACATCCATTCTTTAGCCCAGTTATTGTTAAAATGTATGAAAAAACAACCGCAACAGGCATAAACTTATCACAAAATTTCCTATGTCATTACACAGTTGTTCATGTTTTATGATCAGAAAATTCTCTTCCCCTGGTCATCATTTCTATGCAATGTCCCGATTTAAATTTTGAGAAGACTGATAATTTAAAAAAAATATCTAATATATTAAATCTCAGTCCCAAACTCTGCCTTTAGTACCTCCATAAGTGGTGCTGGCTGTGGTTTTACATTTTGAGCTGACCAGGACATGCCGAGCAGTACAAACAGGTCCAACAGCTGGCATGCACATGGACCCACCTATTCCATGTGGTCCAATGGCGAAACAAGACTAATTGCCAAGCCATATGAATCGGGATTACCACCCGCTACAGACCCACTGTGGTCTCTTTTGAGTTGCAAAAAAGTACTTTTCTGTGTCTTTTGCTTCCCTTTCCCCATATCAACATCCTCACTCTCTTTTTCCCTTCCCTCTCATGCAATTTTTTTCCAAATTCAAACATTACTGGTAGGAGAAGGCGCTTAAATCAAGGATCTGATAAACTATTTCTTCTAAATTAGGTAAATTTGAACCTGATTTCTTAGCTTAATGACTTGAGTTTAGGTTTAATTGGCCATGATTAAAGAGATTTCAAAGATTCATCTTGGTTTTACACTTAAATTAGAACTTGACCCACAAAGATCAAGCCCCAAACCATATGGATCTAGGCTAGATCCACAACGATCAAGCAGTTTTAGGCTAGGTCTATGTGGATCTACGCTTCACCTTTAGTTAATATAGGTTCAATCTGTATGGAAGATTTTGCAGTTTCTAGATCTTATGATGAACAGTCATTCTTTTCGGAGTTGGATGCATCTTACAATACACAACAACAATGCAGTGACGAGAGCTGCAGCTCAAGCACACTACATCATAAAACTTGTGTGGGACTGATTGCCTGAGCGTCCCATCACACGAGTGGCTCATGGTGATGAGGCAACAACATCAATGACACTGTTTACCAATATCAAATGCCTACCAAATGCCATGGGAGCAGTTTCATGCTTAGGTCCTGCAGATGTACCATAATGATATACAATATCAACAGATTGAGGACCTTGACCCACCCTGTCATGAATCATGATGATCATTTTGGTCGTAGGAAGTAGGAACAATTAAATAATCTTATAATACAATTATTTTATTCTGCTTCATTGCTTAAATGACTTTGAACTTATTTGTGTGGTGCGACGTATTCTTTAGAGTTTAGATACCTTGTGTTCCTTTGCCACTACATATTTCAATGCAATATACAAATCTTCTCAACATTATGTTTTAAAAGGTAGGAAACAACCATAAAATAGGGATCTTTCAGGGTTTCGAAAGATTGAGACCCTTAAATCACATGCCACAGCATGTGCCAGTGCACCATGTGTGGGTACATTGGCATGTACCTGGTCATGGACCAATATGGGGCCAGTAACCTTAAACCATGGTGCTGAGTATTGACAATCATAGATGCCAAGGGCAATAACGAACATCATTTGGCAGCACAGTGTTAAGTAGTTAAAAGAAATAACCTGGAACAAGTTTGATTGTTCAGAAATTCACCAAACACGATGACAATGATTCTTACATGCTCAACAAAAAATATATCCAATGGTATTCTTTCATGGTAAGACCTAGGTCCTTAACAGGCTGCTCAGTCGGCAAGAACATTTCCCATGCTGGAACATCATGGACTCAAGCATTTCAACACTCTTAGTTCCTGCCTCAGTAATAGTTAAAAAGTAAACATAAAATTCAATAAAAAATAAACTTAACAAATATTATATTTAGATGCTTTAGACCTCAAAATTCATTTAGAATGCTCGTTATGCAAAACTGGTTCAAGAGGTAAAAGTAGGAACTTATTCGAGTCCCACATTCCACAAGATAAATAGATTAGATGCAATGCCATGAAAAAATAAAAGAACCACAAGGATAGCTTTGTTGTCACTTCATGAACAATGCTTGTGCTTCTCATTGCGATATACCTAAAAAAAGCAATTATTCCTATAAGGGATGATGTAATGCCGGATACATATTTTGCCTTAGGAGTTAACAGACGCAAAAAACAACACATCAGTTCGCATCTGTTCTACCGCAAATAAACAAGCTAACACTGTAGAACATAATCAAAGAGAAGAAACAAAGCAAAACTGGATATAATCAGTACGATTCATATAAACTATACAAGAGTTAATAACAAAAAATACCATAAAAAGGGCCTAAACGGAGTACAAAGAAATGAAGAATTAGAAATGCACATTAAAATATTAATGTGGAAGATGTGACAAGAAAATCTAAATAAATATACAAAACTTCTAAAGAAACATTCTTGTATCTCAACTTTGGCGATGCTCAAGATATTATCCATAAACCGTCGAGCATCAACGTGGAAAACACAACAAGAAAATCTAAATGTTTGCATGAAATTGCCAAAACCAAACATAATACCTGATTCTTAAGGTATGGCTGAAGAGTTATAACAAATTGTGATTGATCGGTGGATGGAGCACAAAGTGTTGGATCCACAACGCAAAATGAATGCAAAGCAAGAACATATGGGAGTGCACAAACTTCCTCTTTATCACTAGTCTCCTCCTCTACCTACATGTTTTTGATATGTTGCATATTAAAAACCGGATGACTAAATAGTTCAACACACAAAGACACTGCATGCTAATAAGGTCAAAAAAATGCACCTGCAATATTCTTTCTAATAAACGTTTGCAAATCAATTCACAGCGTTTACGCACAGATGCCAAAGAAGCTGCATTTATCCCAGTAGCTTTAGCCGATTGTGGAAGAAAATCAAGTGTTAAATTACGCTTTATAACTGTAACAAGATGATGACTGTTAGGCATATTTCTCAGCATATCAACAATCTGCTCAGTCTTCTTTGCTACTTCCATAGGTACAGAGCTACCATCAGCTATCAAGTGCTTCTGACTTCCAGTTGGTTCCTCGAACCAAAGTTCAAAGAATGTTTTGCATACTAAATCCTGTTAATAACCCATAGTAAACCTATTAAGTTAATCAAGCTTAGAAAACATGGAATTCTACAAAAGACATGATGCTTAGTCTCGTAAAGACCAGGAAAAATCAACCACATTAACTATGTATGTGTATATATATACATATATACATATATACATATATATATACATATATACATATATACATATACATATATACACATATATATATACATATATACATATATACATATATACATATATATATATATAAACACACACAAACTACTATTAAAAGGTTAAAAGAACCAATTCAGAACAATACTCATATCACCTGTACGCTTGATTCCTCATCGGTAACACGAGAAATGATCTCAATAAAAGCACGAGTTGCTTCTGAGAAGTTTGATTCAGAAATACACAAGTCGCGGATAATTCTAATGGAACGTTTGCGCACACTGACTCCGGTATCCTTTATCCGTTCAGCAACTTTTTCAAAATACTGTCAAGCACAAAATAAACTTCCAATTAGACAAATAACCATTCAAGAATCTGAAAGTGCATGTTTGATTTAATCACCTTCAAACCAACTCCAGGATGAGAAGCAATATGTCTGCCAACAAGTTCAAGAGCAGCTTCCCGAACTGAGATCGCAGAGTCACAAAACCTTCCTTCAACAGCACATTGGACACGTTTATCACATAAAACCTCAGGATCAGCTTCAACTATGGCACTGACCTAAAACAGTGTAATAGAAGCATCAGTGTAATAGAAGCATCACCACTGTAATAGAAAGAAATTAGATACATATTTATTTGCTCTGTAGAAAAAATGCTCACTGCTCTTAATGCCTTGGCTCGCAAAACTGGAGAGTTCTCCCTCAAGCTTGCCTGAGAGCAATGAGTTTGCTGTAATCCTTAACATAGACAACATCCAAGAATAAAATGGAATGCAATAAAAAGCTATTTACCAAGAGCAGCGAAAGAATTTTGTCAAATCCCCTAGAGAAAGAATTATTTTGCCCAAGTGCCAAGCATATCTTCTTAGCCCCATCTCTTGACAACAATAAAGAACTACCAGAGTCCCGCAAAATGGCCTTTGACTTTAGTCTAGCAAGATAATAAATAACCCTTTCTTGAGATTGAGAGTCGTCCTTGTACCACAAGCAAAGATAAAACCTGCAAACGGTTTAGCATTTAAATAATGTGATTGTAACAATTCTAGAAGGAAAAAGTATTAAGTTTTCACACCAGCGAGTAAACAAATTCACATCATCTTCGGAACCATTTTGTTGCAGATGGTTCAAAAGAATTTGTTGAACAACTTCCAATTTAGTGACACAGTCAGAATCTCCAGAAGTGGTGCTAGCAGAAACTAAGCTTATCTTAGCATTATCCTTGCTCTGCATATTGCAGTATGAATGCAGAGTAATTAGCTGCTTCTTGCATAGACATATATGACAAGACCAGTCCCGAAGCAACATTTCTTGTCCCGAAATTCCCAAGCAATCAGGATGAAAGCATCTCTTGCAGAGATGACAGATGATGTTGGCACCTCTTCTTTTAAGACAAACAGAGCATGCATCTTTCGTGCCAACGGAAACATCATCATTTGCATCGACCAGATCTTGTAGGATCCAGAACCTATCCCTGCTGCAAGTCACAGCATCACGTTTCAGCCTTGCTGCAATCATTCCTAGAAGGTCAACAGCCATGCAACGTGCTGAGATATCTTTAGATTTCAATCCAGCATTTTGAAGCAGCAAGACACAGAGAACCTGCATAGACCAGACTATTTAATTAAAATTATAATGCACAATACTCAAGTTCTGGTGAAGATCCATCACCTCCAATATTGGAGCAGAAGCAGGATATTCAGGTAAATTCAAAGTCGTCAGCAGATCCATGATAATATTCTCTAAGATCATCTTCGACTCTGATACATCTTGAGATTTTGCAGTGGTCAAACGCTGAAGAACACTGGTCCAGAAAAGACAACAGGTTTGAGTTGCAGCTTCATAAGATTTAGCTGGGCTACTTGAATCAGATGATATATCTAAAACTGCATTCCAGTTTGCTGCTGTCTTCAAACTTTCAGGAAGATTGCTACTGAATTGCACCAATTGAATCAACAAAGCTGTTATCATCTGAATCTGTTTTTGTTCCTCATCGGGGAGATGATAAGCTCTAATAGCCCGTTTGTTGAATTGTAACTTCCTAAGAAGCTGCAGGGTTTCATCTATCAAGAAACTCCGGTGCTGTGTGTATGAAGAATACACCTGAATGAACAAACAAGCATAATAAACAAACAAGAGCATATATTATTGAGAACCAATTTAAGTAAAATAGATAGCATTACCCCACATATTAAATTTATAGACTTTAATTGCAAGAGCTGAATGTTATCTGCCAAGAAAGTTGAAAAACTGGTCTTAACCAACTGTAGAATGCAACTATCTGAGAGTCGCTCCACAGACAATAGATCCTTGAGAAAGCCTAGAATTGAGCAAAGTTTCTGAACCACAGCATACACTGGTGCTGAAATTCTGGTGTAAACAAGAAACACAACAATAAAACAAGTATCTTAAATATGCAAATAAGTGGAAATACAGTCACAAATAACCAAGTATTAGAGATAATACTTGCTTCCGGAAGACTTCCTCAGATTCACATTCCTATTATAGCGCCTTCTTTTGGCTAATGAACTATTGGTATTATCTACATCATCATCATCTTCCTCATCACCTGGATAAATACAGAAAATCAAACAATAAACCCATTACAAGGTAAAACAGAAAGCTCTTCAAGCTTACTGGATGTGTATCAAAATGCACAGCATATCAGCATGATTCAATTCTTTACTTTCACTCTACAATGAAAAGTTCAAAAACATCCAACAAAGCCTCACACAGGCAAAATCACCAGTTAACATGGTGCAAACAGCTAGATCCTTGTAGCAAAAAGCAGAAAGGACCTCATCAGGTTCACACTGTTAACACAAGATCAAAAGCCAGAGCTACATATTGGAGACCTGATTGAAATTGACTGAGTTGCTCATTGAACATGCATCAGCTATCAGATGTCCCCAAAAATAAAAAATAAAAAATCAGTTCCTAAAATATTACCATCAAAAGGAGCATTTTCACTTGGTTTGGGAAGACTGTGCAATGGATTACATGCTGCGATGATTTCCATGATCTGATGTCTTGAGAAATCAAGAATTCTTTCAATGACCTGAGTTAAATGTGAAACAGAGTCATGAAATTATCAAAAATATTAAACATGTTAACTAAAAAATCCATCCTATGTGAACAGGTAGCAGGGTGTAAAGGGAAGTAACTTGTCATATTACTGTTAAGACATTAATGTAAAAGACTATAAATACTTTGCACATACTTCTTCTCTATATAGCTGCTTTGGCATATCTTGATGGGCCATAATTCCCAGTGATGCATGAGTAGACTCCAAAGCACACAGGACCAAGTTTGCAGCATCGTCATCAGCCTGAAAATTGTGCACATGCATAAATAAAGCATGCTAAAGGTACATGCAGTAAGTACCTTTCTTCAAAGGATCATATAAGAACTTGAAAAGGTAAGAAGGCATGTAAGAGGAGCTGTCAAAGATTAACACATCTACATTGCAGCTTTTCATGTAATTGACAATGGAAGAAACATTTTAAGAAACCAGCAGGTAAGGAATACTGATGTATATTTTGATACGACATACAGATTAGGGTTGCAACTATGGTAATGCAACCTATACCTGTCCGGCCAATCAGTCCAGATCCGTGTCATCCAGCCTAAAGTTCAGTTCCAAATCAAGCAAACTGACATTCCTGGGCTGAAATCCTAAGACAACGAGGCTTAACCAGACCTCAGAGAGCTTGTTTCATCCCATAAGTACAATGCATAATCAACACTAATCCAATCAAACCGGATCCATGTAACACAATCTACACATAAAACAAGACCGTTCTATTTTACAAAACATTGGCCTGCTGGTGAATGATGAATACAGTCCCGTTCCAAGCTTCCAGCAGCAGTCTAAGATAGATAAACCTACCAGGCAGATATGGGCTGACTCATTTAGTAACTCATTGCTTGCCTTAGCCACAAAAATGTCATGATCATTAACCTATTATGCTACAAAACCACTCAGTTGCAATAAAAATATAATGCTTCCTCAGAGTGATCTTCAATTTCCATGGATTCCATCCAGTAGAAAATAATAATAATAAGAAACCACCTTCCAATACTGAGAATTATGAGAACCATCTAAATGTTTAAAAAATTGAGATCATTTTGTATGTGTATATATAAACCCATTTGCACAATGATGTGAACGACTCACGTTTATTCAAAGTCATTCCATCAAATTGCTTAACGAATATGAGCATGGAAAATCCCATTCTCAAGCTTCACCCAGCTACTTCATGTTGACTTGAAAAATGGTTCATGGGATCAACCAATCCACATCAGGATTGGCCAAATCTGAACCTGAAACCTCTAAGTTTTAAAGCTGGCTCAGCTGGTCCCTATCCTGAACCTAAATGGTCAAACCTGTCCTGGCTAATTTCCACGAAATCTAAATGGTCTGATCAGTTACCGAATGGTTTATCTCCCAATCCTGTCGATTCCAGCCAATTTAGGTTGATCCAGCAGTCATGACTTATTTCCAACTGATTTCATCATTCTTCACCAATTTTCATAAGATTACAGCTAATTTCTGATCATTCAGAAGAAATAATAAACAAAAACTCAAGATCCAATCTGATCGAGCTATACCAATCCCGATCCATGCATTTAACTCAACTATTAACACCACAAGATTCAGTTGATCGCCAAGCCAATTAATATTATAACCAATTCAAATCTAACAATTCCAAATAACTCAATGACTACACGAAACATAACCGTGATTCTATCAAACAAATTTTACTGAAGAGGACTTCTACCCGACTTGAATTTTGAGATAAACCCATATATGATTGGCCACTCAATATTCAGGAATATTTATATTATAAAATCAAAACTAATTTTTTCATGTTGCTAATAAGAAGGAAATTTTACTTCCACCTCGCACATCATATTTTTAACTTTTTAAGGAAATTAATGCATATTTGTTCAGCAAATAACAAATGCTAATGTGTGCACTAAAAATTATTCAGGCATGTATAACCCTTATTAATCATTGCAATCTTTATTTTACCTTAATATAAATGCATAATGTTATTGACACAATCATCCTCGACATAGTGGGACGATGATATGTGATGGTTGTTTATGCCCCTACAATTCCAATTTAATAAATTGCAATTTTTCATCATTCACCACAAGGACAAACTGTATGGACCTTTGCTTCATTACTTTAGTCAGTCAACTAGTTTTCAGACTAATTATTTTTCAACACAAGTTCAGCAAAGCAATTCCTTTACTGTTCACCTTGGAAGAAGAAAATGCTGCAAATGACCAGTCCTCATAACATAACTTTGTCCTACTTAAGAATCAACCACAACAAGCAAACCCAACTCAGCTCCTCAAGAGATATCCAAATTTGTTACGATGCAATCAAAGATATCCAAATTTGTTAGTATGCAGTCAAACAAATGTTACCGATCTTTATGCTCCAGAAAAGCCGAAGACCTCAAACAGTACAAGGGCCAACACAAAGCAGCTGATAAAATGTCTCTTTGGTCTTCTTCTCCATTTCTGAACACCTAACTTCAAAACATCATACATTTTCTTGATATGCACATAAACATCATTTTTTTATGAGTTTGAACTTTGAACTGCCTTCAACTTCTCAGCCCTATCATTTTCCCTATTTGGTGCTACCTCTCCCATGGATCAATTGTAAAGGTTCTTTATTTCATCTTTCATTATAATAAATATCATCCATCTCAACATCATCATATGCTGAACCTTCTCTTATGATTCTTCTCAAGGCCACACAATTTGAGGCATAAAAGTGCAAATGAACCTACAGGCTACAGAAATCATGTACAATTTGCGCCTTGACCTAACTTGCTAGTACAATCAAGGCATGAAAGTCTTGTTTAGGTACATGGACATTTTTTAACCATCCACTTCAACTATATCCTCCTATCTTGCCTAAATGTCAATAAACATATACACACCTATATATAAGAATTAAAAGTTAAGTTATTTAAATTGTCAACACAAAAGGAAAATATATAAAAGAATAATCACCATTTTTGTTCAATGCACCCTAAGCAAAAAAAAAAAGACCATTTTTATTCAATGCATCTGAAGCAAATCACCATTAAGCAAGACAGAACTTGTAAGCACAGACTGACATCAGCTGCCAACAAATGAAAGGAAAACCAAAGTCAAATTTTACCTTTTCTAAAAGGAAACATTTCAATGATAGAAAATAACAGCATCTATATTCTATAGCCAAAAAAAAAACTTACATTGTCATTTCCATCAATCGACAGGCCTTGTGCACACTGTATTTGACGATCTAAAATATTTATGAGTCTCACAAGAGTGTTGAGTGGAATTAACTGCAAGACTTTCTTTGAACGTATAGACATTATCTGATTTAGTAGTGTTTTAATATCAGTCAGCGGAATAGATGACACCTCTGCACCTTCCGCATCATCAGGTATCTCTGCCCTCCCACAAAAATCTTCAGCCATCTCACAAAAGCTTCCAACTATTCCTGCAAATTAAAGAAAAAAATATTAATACTCGAAACAAGAGCGTCGAGTAAAGACACGAGAAAGATTAGGTAACCTTGATGGTCAAGAAGATCTGGCCCCACAGATGATGGAACAGAATCACTTTCTTTCTTTTTTATTTTCGGTTTTCTTGACGAAGCAAAAGAAGGTGGTTCCTGCAATTGCAAGCATTTGGGGACTTACATAAACAGTAGGAAAAGAGGATCGATAACTAAGAGAAGACCATAAAACTCACAGTGATCAAGTTCTTTTCTGACCGGTCATCACATTCACCCCCATTATCCCTTTGTACTTGGGAAACACCTTGTCCAAAGGGTTTCTTTTCTATCGTTTGATTAGACCTTCTCTGCTCCTGAAGAGGACCTGAGAAACTTGAACAGCACAACATTACATAAGCAAAGAAGTGAAAGAAAGTCCAACTAAAACGACAATCACACCCAAAAATATATATATTGCGACAAAGAAGTTGTCAGATAATTATGACGAGTAAAAATCAAATTATACAAAAAAGTAAAACAACAAAATCATGAATTTTTCACATGACAAAATACTAAAACACAAAGTAAAATGAGTAACCAGACACATGAAACCTCAGAAAACTAGTGCCAACTTAGTTAAAAAAATCAAAGTTTTATAAAGCATCCATATGGCCAAGGACTACAGAAGCCAACATAGATTGAATTTGTTTTCTGAACCAGATAAAATTTCATTACAACAACAAAGACATACCAAGTATAATGACATGGGATGTATTACAACTAGTGACAAATTTCATAATGTTAATGACATGGGAGGTATTAAAGCACGTAAAACATAACAACTTTAATACTTAAAAAAGCACCTTATTTTGCACTGCCAAACCTGATAGACAAAGTATAATAAGGCAAAAATGGATCTGATGTACTTGAAAACCTAATAAGCTTTGATATGATAAAACACGATTGTCCTAATAAATATGGACCTAGTTGTAATCAATAACTTTGTAGGTGTTGATATGATGAAAACAATGAAGTTAGCTTCACATACACACTCTTCCTTCAATTATTTTATTACAGTTCCAATATACAGTTGGAGAGGTGTGCATATATACAAATATAAAAGAACTCCCTATGGTGATGACATTTACATGCACTTCATTTATGAAAACCAAATAACATCACCACCAACACATTAGATTATAAGATACCTTAAGAGTCAACATGAGACAATCTATCACTGCCTTTAACCAATGTGACTTTATATGTTGGTTATGATGTGTAAGGTCAGTCAACTTTGTATGGTTGTCAATAAAAATTGTTTTAGTACTAAGCAAGGATTGAAATATCGTACCGTACCGGAGTTTCGAGATACGCTCGGTACGGTGCTGTACTGTATACCGAACAGCAGGGCGACGTTGCCAATATGTGTGTGTGTGTGTATGTGTGTGTTTATATATGTGTGTGTGTGTATATATACATATACCGCCCGGTAGTGGATGGTCCGTGTACCGGTCTGCTGGCGGTCCGATACATACCGCCCGGTACGGCTTGTATTATTTGAAATTGAAGACGTTGGTTCTAAGTCTAATTTGTAATTAGGGTCTTGTAGATGGCTACTGTAGCTACAGTTCCTCATGTGCCAATAGGTTAGCTTGTATTGCCCTCATATTGGTAGTTCATTGACTGGGAATTTAAAGATTGACTGTCCCAATAGCTGGGAATTTAAAATTAACTTTCTCTTGGATGCCTGAAAAACGGGGGAAAGGTAGCCAAATACTTCACAAAAATTGGAGCTTGACTGACCTCAATATCTACAACCATTAAGAACTAAAGCCCAAATCCTAAAACAAAGGGAAATGGAGAGGTGTGGTAATCAACAAACATGCATGAATCTGATATAGCATTCATCACAATCTTATGGTTGCAAACTAAACAAATAACCAAAAAAAAATTTAATTCTATAGTTACCAAAAACACTATCGGTACCACCCAGCGACGGGATGACATGATTCAGATTAAAAGGATCAATTTGATCAGATCGGAGGGATCAAAATCAAAGAAAAAAGAAATAAAAATAACAACTTATGAAAAATTGATGAAATATAAAATATTAGGAAACACAAAATAAAATTTGAAAAAAAAATATATGCTAAAAAATATTTTGCCCTGATATTTTGTAAAAGACATGAGATTGGAAATATAAAAGGTTAAAAAAATAACTATATAAATTATTGATCAGAAATTAAATATTGATCTATCATTGAAAGATATCAATGAAGTAAATGATTATACATATAATTTTTTTTTTTTTAAGCTCAAGACTTATCTACACGTAGCTTTGAAAATAGATATAGATCCCATTTTAGCCTCACGCTTCTGGAATTACCACGTACACCAGGTGCTAAGAAACAAGGAAAACTTTATTTAAGGAGAGTGTTGATTAATTGTGAAAGCTACGGCAACACAGCAATTTCTTGACCAACCATTTCTTCACCCAATATCCTTTCGTCTTTTTTAACCAGCAGTCGATGAGGAACATTGTAACAATGGTGACAAAAGAAAATGATTCCAGCAGATAGCAAACACAATAATGACAGTGTATCCTCTATTTCAAAGTTAAGGTCATAGGAACTTTTTTTGTCTTTAACCGACGCTTTCTCTCCTCTTTCCCTTCTTTCAGCTTCTCTCTTGCCTTACCTTTTTAAAACTACCAAACCACCTAGGCTTGGCCAAAATTACCATTAATTTCAACCAATAAAGCTGTCAGATCAACTAAAATCAGAATGGTTTTGGACGATATGAAAACATATGGCTTATGCTGTTTTGGAATCATTTGATATCATGATGTGGACCAGAAGAAGAATATCAGAAACCAGAATAAATAACCATCGGAGAAGCCAAGACCACAATACATGGTCAAACACTATTTCTTTGATTCAAAATTTGGTTTCAATCGAAGATTTATTTTAAAGTAACTAAAAAATTTCAGCTACTTCTAAGACTGACATGTTAAGTACTCCATCTAACATTTCCCCGGTTCAAACAATCTTTTTAAATAAAATGAACCCCAAAACAATAATAAGACATCCTACACAAACCAAAACTTATAACCTAATAAAAAATACTTCAACATCCTTAAAATAATATAAATAATCTCAAACTCTATCGAACTAGAAAAAATTGGGATCCTGAATTTGGGCGCATCACCAGTCCAAAGTATGATAAGAATGGATCAGTTACACCATTAATGACGTCAATGCTATTAATACGAAAACTATTCAACTACTTATACTGAAAAATCAGGAACATAATGCTGGTTGTTACTGCACATAAACTCAATATAAGCCACAGCACATCAAAGCAGAGAACTAAAAACATGATATTTTTGTTTTCCACAATCCAAATGGACAATAACAAACTCGAAATAACATCAAATCCATGTTATCATCAAAGAAAACTTAAGGGTTTCCTTTTTCCAATTCTACCAAAAAAAGATCAAAACATTGGTTTAATTTATCAAACACCTAATCCTTTGCCTCTCTTACGAAGAATCAAATTATTCCTTTAATTCCACCGACGTACAAACTATTATACGCTACGTTCTTTAGAACGCATGAGCTAATAGCACGAGTCCTTGCAGAGAAACGGAGAATAAATAAAAACTAGACCGAAATAAACACACGAGCTCTTGCTAGAAAATAAGAGAAGAAATAAAAGCCAAACCCAAGAAGAAACCAAGAACTACAGGAATACGCATGCATCACGTGTGTGTTTCATCAACAATCAACAAATTGAGTATAGTTTACCTCGATAGAAACACTTAAAGGCATCGGGGTTATACTTGACGACTTCTTGATAGAGCCTCGAACGGTCCCCCAAGTCATCAGGAACGACTCTCGCGTTTTCCTTGAGATTTCTACGCGATAAACAACATTACGGATGCAGTCACAAAACCATGCCTTCGCTCGAACGAATACAATACAAGACAACCTCGAAAGCCAGACTTACAAGTAGTCAACATCGCAATTCCTAAGCAGCTCCGCGATCGTTCCCGCGTGCGCGAGAATATCCGGGCGGTCGCCGGAGCGGGACCCTCCGGGCACGTCGGAGAGGCCGAGCTGCTGGTCGAAGGACCCAAAGCACACGGGGAGCGAGGGCAGGGACAAGGAAGGAGCGATCTCCGAGTGGGTGGTGTTCGACAGGCGGCAGTACCGCTCGAATCCCAGGTCCTGGTTGAACTCCATGGATCAGGCCGACGCAGGGATCAAGGGCATGGAGATCGAAGGCTTAGGGCAGAATCGGGGTTAGAAATTAGGGTTTCTGGGGTTGGAAACCCCGAGAAGCCCTAACAATTTGGGGGAGATGGAGGAGGGGGGTTTCGAAAGGAACAGGAGACGAACGAGGGTCGGGTGGAGAGCGAGGGCTCCGCTGGAGGTGGGCCGACTTGAATAGGGAGGGTCGGAGAAATGGGCGACGACGAAGCTTTTCCGATTCACATTTAGCCCTCCGACTTGCTTTTATTTGCGGACCGAAGGACGGGGCCGCAACTTCCCGTTGAAGGAAGAACCGTAGAGGGCTAATTTTGAAATTACAAGGGCGTGGTCTTGTTGACTTGAATTACTAATATACCCTCGTGAAGATGTCTGCGGCGCCATCTAATTGGGCTTTTCCGTAACTTTGTGGTCTAACCGTCCATTCCTTCTGTCTTTTTATGTTAATTTTACTTTTAAATTGTTCCCCAAGGCTTTATTTTCTTAAATTTTACCCCCTTTTTTTCCCAACGTAAATAAAGAGCATACTATTAATCTTTCAAATAAATCATGTAAATATATCAATATTTTTTTAAAACTTAAATTCCTTGCAACAACACGTCTATGTTTTCTATTTATGTACCTTTACACCGTGGTTGAAGAGTCAGCACGGTTTGATTCGGCTCTGGATGTTCACGCGAGAACTTTCGTGGTCAAGACGGATGTCGAGTCAGGATGGGTTATGAATGTCGTCACTTGCTGTTGCATCACCAGCCCCTGCACTCAGGTCGAGGTCGGGAGGAGTTTCCCGATCCAACCCCTCTGGAGTTTAAGTCAGTGTTAAATAAAATAAGAGTGAAATGTGTGTCCCCCCCCTCTCTCTCTAGTCGGACAGTGGACACTTGTATCTATATACGGGGATCGGTCATATGGTGCGTGACGACATCATCCTGAGTTTCTCGAGACACCCTCGTACTTGATGATATCGTCTCGAGCTTCTCAAGGGTGGCTTTGTACCCGATGGTATTGTCTCGAGTTTCTCAATGTGCCTTCGTACTTGACGACGTCATCGTGAGTTTCTTAGGGTGGCTTTGTACCTGGCGATATCATCTTGAGTTTATTAGGGCGGCTTTGTACTTGACGACGTCGTCTCGAGGCTTTGTACCTAACGGCGCTGTCCCAAGTTTCTTGGGACGGCTTTGTACTTGACGATATCGTCTCGAGTTTTTCGATCCAACATGCTCCACGACGATGGCCTTTGAAATCCTTATTTGTAATCAAATGGTGTGTTACCAAAAATGTGTCATATCACTTTACTAATTATAATATTAGTCTTCGAACAAGCGATGGACCGCACCAAATAATAATTCTCTCCGAGTCGATAGAGTAAGCGAGCGGGTGTACGTCGGAGTCGCCGCCTCGACGACAAGATACGGGCGACTACCGTGTGCAATCCCGGGAGCCAACCTTTCGACACTGTCTGAGAAAAGGATGACCCGACGTCCAAAGGACACAATGATCTCGTACTACCGCTGGCGGATAGCAACCAAGACTGTCACGTCCACCTGCCAAACACACGTAAACAGTCATGTAATGTACTTTAGGCAACTGACACGTCAGAGGATAATTCGACCGCAATGATTTGTGAAAGGGCCTTTGACCCCACATTCAACGTAAAATGTCCGACGAGCGTTCGACGAAATATCATCACGAGCACGGAGAAGGCACGCTCGTATCACCTCAGTCTGCTCGAGCCAAGTCTCGTCGCTCGGAACCGGCGGTCTTGCCCGAACTGCCGGTTCGCCGACTGCACCGTACTGCCATCGCTCGGAACGAGAGGCTCTGCCCCACCAGCCGCGTGCCGGTTTCCCAGTTCCTGGACATCGGGATCCACTCGGTGCCTGATCCCTTGATCGACACCGCCTACGCCGGCACGAGTCTCCAGTACGGGTTGCCCTTGATCTCTTTATGAGAGTTTGTGTGTATGTTCATCGTTCTTCTCTTGGGAAACCCATACGCGCGAGCAAAGCACATGAAGGTAAGCTTGAAGATGAAGAAAAAACCAAACACAAAAACTTTCGTAGCATCATCGATACCGCGACGGTAGCACAAAGGACCAAATCATGATGCTGCCGTATATATCATCGGAAGATGATATGATACGGCTATCAGGAACCCACTCAGCAAACTTTCTCTTACCATCGGCATCGAGGATCCCGGCGCGGATCAACTCGGGAATACTCATCAACGTCGCGAGCGTGGCCGCAGAGGCAACCCAGAAACAAGTCGCTCTGATGCCCGTCTTCTTAGCCACGTTGGTCTTCTCAACTCCTGACTCGTTGGTCTTCGTTACGAGCTCTTCTGGGCATCCCGGCATGACCCTCGAGAAACCATCTACTTGTTGCGGTCTTCGCCCGGAGCCAATCCATCTGGGATGGAGACCATATGGATTCCTCGGGCATCACCACTTTTATCGGACAAGACAGCCACAACTCGGTCGTGGTTGAATTCGGTGTTGACGAACGTGATCTGGAAGCCCTGCTCGACCAACGAGTGCGAGAGTGCCAGGAAGGGGATCACATGGCCTTGTGCCGGAAAAGGGATGACGAGCGCATGAGGACGCGAGCTCATCCCTGCAGACCGAGCTTGACGGCGGTACCGTTTCTGGTGCTACCACTAAAACGATGGAAGGCGGCCAATTCGTTGCTGGTTCTCGAAGGATATGTGTGATGAAGGAAGAGTGGAGGTGGTGAATTGATGATGCATGTCACCGACGATGGAACCTTTGATTTTTGACACATGATTTCTTTGTTTTTGAGCGGCAGACTCTGACGAGGTCGCTACAGAACGAAGAGATAAGCTTCGAGAGGAGACAACTTTTTGTTGCCTTCGATTTCAAGGAAAAGATAAACAAGGAGAATCTTTGCAAAGGAAGGAAGCCGTCCGAGTCAGTACAGCATTCCGGTGCTGACTTGGTAAATGGAGTGCCTAAAGCCAATGCTTCATCCATGCTTTTACCTATGCAAGGCTTGAGTGAGAGATTTGGATTCCTCGTCCTGTGCTAAAGCTGTGAGTGAGACTGGTGGATACCTACGTAACATAAATGTGGAATCCAAACTTGGATTGTGACAGCCTCTTGCCTTTTTAATTTGGCTTCGGTTCGTTCTATCAGATACGAAGCTTTCTGCCAATTGTGTGGTGGGGCAAACTCATGTGTTCTCCTCCTCGGATTAGGTGCATAAGTTTGGCATGTTTTGAGATCCAATGAGAGTTGCCGTCTCTTCGTAACTCAACCTGATCCCATTTCTACTTCTTCTTCTTCTTCTTTTTTACGTTGGGTTTTGTTTGATGTCGATGGCCATTGTCTTCGTGCGACTGTTGAACTGCTCGAACACTGTGATTGTGTTGGCAACGATGGTGATGTCGCATTCTCCTCAGAATGGAATGGAGGCTTAGGACATGCTGCGTGATAAGCTCAACCTTCCTCCTGGACTTGTGGTTATCCAAGGAAGGTAGGATTTCAGGGACGTGGTCTGCCTCTCGTCGAGCAATCGTGGGTTGTGCGTTGTCTATCCACCGTTCGATTCTTATCTATTTGATTTTAAAGACTGATTATCCATCTTTTTTTTAATTTTTTATTAGATCATGAAAGATCTAAATGCATGATTTAGTACATTTTAGCATCATGTACGTGGCAACAAACAAAGGACCTCTAAGCTAACATAAAGTGACATCTCGGATCCGAACTAGATGACCACATGACCTATGTGTTATTTGACGTCGTACAAGTTGGCGTTGAACACCACGAAACCGTTTCGTAAAACTCGAGATGACGTCGCACAATGCTAACCTATATAGGTCGGTCGTTGCTCATCCGCAGAATACAAGCCATCATCTCGAGGAGTTGATAGTCATTAATGGACTATGTACGACTGGCTCCCCTCTCGTAGATATAAAAAATAATCCCTTTACGGAGTTGTTTCGTAAAACTCGGGACGGTGTCGCACGACACCAACCTATACGGGTCGATCGTCACTCATCCATAGGATACAAGCCATATTCTCGAGGAGTTGATAGCCATTAATGGACTATGTACAATTAGCCCCCCTCTCGTAGGTATAAAAGATAATCCCCCGACTAATGCATATGACTTTGAACACTAAACCCTTTCTTATTCCACTCAACTCTAACTTAACCTTTAGATGGATCGAGTCAGGAGATCTCCCTCTCGATCTTAACTTGAGTGTAGGAGCCCAACAACAAAGAAGTAAGCGACGAGGCCCACAACTCAACCTTACCCGATACTCACTTCTGTCACTTGAGCATCCGCGTGGGTAACCTTACATATTTGGGATTGGACCAAGCCGTTCTTACACATCAACCACGGCACGAAGGTTCACCGACAAAACGGATCTTTGGAGGTTAAGATGTAACGTAGAAGCCTAATCGAGAAGGAGAGTATCCGCTTATGGAAAGGAAGATTTATTTACACGATAGCCGCTTGATTACATTAACGAAAACAGTACAATATAGAAAAGCTTTAGATATCGCTTATTGCTATTCGAACACACCACGAGGGAGTCGAAGGGTTTGATTTAAGGCGAAGATTGCAGCATTCTATTTTTAATTTAAATATTTAAAATAAATAAGAATTTAAATTGATTTATAATAATTTAATGATAATGATATTTGGATTGACTTACATAATAATAGTCCGAGGAGTGTAATGATATTAGCTCGGGACAAAGGTCATCGTTTACCTTTATAAGAGGAGAAAGAGAGAGATCCGAGAATAAATGGCACACCAAATGCAGCGACGGCCCATAAAAGATTCATGAAAATGGGCTCATGGTTGCAGATTTCCCATCAACAAAACACCGGCGGTACGTGTCTCACGCCGGACACGTACCAACACCGCCCCTTCCTTTACCGTCTTCTTTGGATTTGTTCCTTGGCAGTCGGAAGAAGCTTAGGAGGAGCATTGTTCCCAGTCCATCCTTTCTTATATTGATGGTGGTGGTGGTGGTGGTGGTGGTGTTCTTCTTCCCCGATCGCACTACTTGGTCTGGGGAACCATCATTGCAGCAATGCCGAGGGAGAGGGGTTGACCACAATATGCCGGAGCGGGTGAGCCACGTCTCCACCTCCGCCGTGCTTCACGAACTCGGCGGGAGTGAGGAATCTGCCATGACACAGGCACACAATCCTCACTTCCTCCCCTTCCCTGTACTTGTAGAGGAACCCTTCGATCCTTCTCCCGCTCGGCCCATCTCCTCTGGTGGAGACGCACGGCATTTCTCGCATCATGTCCCTCGTGACTCCTTTTGCCGTACCATGGCCAGCAGACTTGCGTGGTCTGTCATCCTCCTCCTCGCCGAACGTGACACGTTTCCTGATCAGTGACGTGGTGGGATTCATCGCCGATTGGCTCCTGACATCCCGGTGGTGGTTCTTTCCGGCGACGCCGAACCCTGAACATACAGTATCTTGTAGCTCAACATGCAGGACCGAAAATGACTTCAGAAATGATCGAGCAGATGTTGCAGAAATGGTTAGCAGCAGAAACGAAATCCATACCGTGCTTCGGTGGGCAATCGAAGTCGGAGACGCAGCCGGAGCAGCCACTGCCCTGAGACCCGACGGAGACTTGGGTTTCCGGTGTGACATCAACCATCTGAGCTCTGGCCTTCCTCGCCAACGTCGGCGGCAGGGGAGGAACCACGCCGTCGGTCGCCCCACCCACAGCTGGGTGGCCCATCTCCTCCTCCAAAATCTCATCTTTGCCGTCCGTCGTCCCGGCTTTCGATCTCCTCTTCTCCGACCTCTTCCTCTTCGCCTCCAGCCTCTTCAGGCTCTGCAGCTCCTTCCTCTTCCTCTGTTCCTCCTCGGAGTCCGCCGGCAGCGAGCACGTTCTCGCGAGAGGCGCCGTGGCGCGGGGCGGAAACGCGGAGAGCGTGTCGATCGACGACGACCGAAGGAAGCACCTCTCCTCCGGCTCCATCCCAGAGCACCCGCCCAAGGAGAGGCCGAGGCTGAGCTCAGCCTCGCTGAGCTCCCCCATCTTGGCCTCCGCAAGCTCCTCCCGGCCACCACCGCCGAAGCGCCTCAAGAAATCCCTCGGGCAGCACGTTACCCGAGCCGCAACCTCTTCCTCCATCGACAGTGGCACAAAGAACACTGACTACCGAGAACACAACCTATGCTAGTTCTTACCAACGCTTTAGATCAGAGTTCAGATTTTGCTCCTTGTGCTCCCGCCGAAACCTCTTCATCGAGAAGCAACAAAGGCTGCTATAGAAAGCCAAACTTTTAGCATCCTTCCTTCGACGACGCATTACACAGTTTAGATTTCAGTCAAAGATAAGCTTTTGCTCAAGCAAACCTGCGAAAGCTATCATTAGAACCATGAAATATCCATCGACAAGCTAGGTGTTTGATCGATTACAACAGATGGGAAGGAGATGGGCGCTCGATCAACCAAGAAGAAGATGAAGAGGAAGGCGAGGCGGAAGAGAAGCGCCATTAGATTGGCGAGAAAAGGAGGGCCTTTCGAGTGCCTTGGTCGCCGTGAATCACCGAGACTGCCCCTGCTCGGACCCTGCGACGTCGGGCACGCGTCGAGCGCTGGGAACCCGGAAGGGACACGCGTCCGGGTTAGGTAGCCCGCGGCGACGAGGAACAAGGCGCGCCATCCTTTGGGGGCCGCCGGGGCCGTGGCTGTCGTGTCGACATCTGGTGGGCCCTCGACGCGCACGCGATTAGCCGTTCTCCAATGCTCCGGGCTGCCCCACCGTCCGCAAGCCGACGCGTGTCTCGTCTCCCCGACCAAAGTATCCGTCTCGTCGAACATCGCGTCTGCTCCTGCGACCAATGGCTTCTCCTCACAGAAACTCCCACGGTACCCGAACCGCTGCCTGCCTCGCCATTGGAGGAGAGGCGAAGGAACTCCGGTGGGACCTGCGCCTGGCTGAAGTTTGACTGTGGTCAACCGTGGTATGGTAAGTTTGACCTTTCGAGGTGTTCAAGCGGCTCTCTCTAATCTAACTCGCGTCGCGCGTTGTCAGGGACGGAACCGTGGCGATGTTGACGTCTCGTGGTGGCTGTCCGAGCCTTTACGAGATCTTTTCAGACACGTCAGTGACGAGCGACGACCACGACGACACGCGTCAGCAAAGTACCTCGCGTGACGCCTGGGGTCCACGTTAGACGGTGACACGTCTCCGAAAGGGCGCCTCGTGGTCAAGGCTGAGATACGTTTCTTGAAACACTTTCCGACTGACTCCAAACGTACCCCCGCTTAACTACCCTAACCAGCATCGGTGGGACCCGCATATGGTTTTGTGGGTCCCGTATCAATTCTCCACTGGTCATAGGGTAAGAGTCCTGGGTGTCGGGAATACTTCTAATACCGTTCGCGCACACCGAGTGTCCGACACATGGAGTGCAGGAGCATCCTTTTCTCTCTTCAAGGAAGAAAAAGCCGGCACGGCCGCGAGTCGCCGGAGTAAGCATCGTGTCATGCGCTGACATCAACTGAATGCGACAATAAAAGAGTGGGTGGGATCAGGGACGATGAATGCTCACCTTTCTCATAAAGTCGTGGCTGGAAAAATTGGACGGCCAAAAGGTGCAAGGCAAAGAGAGGAGAACGCTGGGCGTTTGATGAGCCGCGTCCTCTTCTTCTTCTTCTTCTTCTTCTTCTTCTTCTTTTGTCCTTTAGATGAGCCTGTCGACGAACTGCTCACTTCCGCGATCATGTATACGGCTCATATCTTACTCCAACAAAACCTGTGACTCGTGCCAGCTGAAGTATTTAGCAGAACTGAGGTTGTGATATCTCCATCCATTAGAAGATGGTGTTCCGAGTGCATTAAGACTTGGTTTGCTGCTTGATCCATTGAAAGTATAAAAGGTTTAAGAATTCAGACTGATCCATATCAGAAAAATAATATGTAATGCAGGTCAGATTCAACTTCTTACATGAATTTTAGCTGTACAAAGCAAGCCAACATATGAAACATGAAATCTACCATAAAAATAAACAAAGGTTTTCAGAAAGCAGCAGAAGAATATGCTTATTATCTTCCAGGCCATGACATTACCACATTAACTTTCCAAATCACTGTGACACAAATGCATTGGCAGACAAACAAAAAAAGGGTGCTGCAGAAAAGCGTGAACTTGTAACCTCAGAATAGAGCAATGGTAGGCATCAGACACCGGAAAAGCTCATGCGAGCTGGTGACTACATAAATGAGTGAAAAGGACCAAACGTAAAAGGGAATCGTCTCAACACCGAGCGATCTTCTTCCACGTTGCCATCACAGTTCTTTGTTGTCACCCGACAGTACGTAGGAGGACTCTAGGAAAGATGTCAGGCGACTTTTCGGCATTAAGTCTCTGTGGAACTTCTTATAGACATTGTTCTAACTACGATGTCAAATTGAACCGTTTAAGTGAAACTCAAGTGTAGGCAGACGAGATCAAAGTTCTCAAAGGGATTATATATATATATATGATAATTTTAAATTTAGAGTGATAAATATGAATGTATAAGGCTATTTTGTTCTATTAATAATCACACTCTTAGCTATTAATGGGCTGAACCCATACGGCTTAATTGTCAGGAACACAATATATGGGCCGTAAACGGGCTTTTAAAGGCCCTCTTATGCGTTCAGTTAACGATCCTATCTTCCTCGAGGTTGGGAAAAGAAACTTCGAGAGCTCGTGTTCTCGATCCCACCTCGGTCTCGCCGACGATGGCGTCCGCTGTCAAATCCCTCGTGCAATCGCTCAAGAGGTACTTTAAGAAGCCATGGGAGATCACCGGGCCCTGCTCCGATCCCGAGTACCGGAGCGCCCTCCCCATGGCCACCGAGTACCGCCGCTTCTGCCCCGCCACCGCGCCTGCCAAGGCCTGCATCCCTACCTGCGAGCCCGAGACCGTGTTCGATATCAAGTACTACACGCGTGATCGCCGCCGTAACCGCCCCCCCGTCCGCCGGACCGTCATCAGGAAGGCCGACGTTGAGCGGATCATGACCGCCAAGACCTTCGGCCCCGACGATTTCCCCAAGGTCTACCTCACAGAAAGGGTGGAGGAGGACTACGACGCTCGCGGCGGCGGGTACCAGAAATAAAGCTGGTGTCGGTTTTCCTCTCACTCCATGCCTTTTTTTATCGTGATTAGGGTTCCTAATTTGGTTCGTATATTTCTTGTGTGGTTTCTGATGGTCAATGCATCAAAGATTTCTCTTTGATTGGTTTTTGGAGCCGGTGCAAAGTAGAAGACATTGCCTATGCACATAGGATTCGGATTTGATGAGTTTCCATCTTATCTGGAAACCATTATCACTAAGATGTTCTCCTCTGCTTGTTGTGGTTAATTTTAGGATTCTTTTGCCATTCTACCTATATTTTCGAAACTTAGTTTTCGGCTCTTTGCACCATCTTCACATTTTTTTACTTCTACAAAAGATAATGTTGGATTGATGGTGTTACAAAAAAAAAAAAAAATTCTTGTGCAAAAGATATTTTTAAAACCTAGTGTTTGCACCATCTTCAGCATGTCGATGACAAGTTACCAATGTGCCAAGGCTGGCTGATGGCCAACTATGGTGTGTGATTGGCTGTGCTAGTTGTCACTAGCTTAGATAGGTTGGCAGGCGGCCAAAAAGGGGTGTGCAGCGATGGCACCTCAGTCGCCACTCACATTATACCACCTAAAGCAGAGGATGGGTTATCTAGTCTAGTTGGTCATTTCTGAAGTTGTCAGTTGAAGTTAACTGACCAGCTCATGGAAGATGAATGGCAGTTTCTTTTAATGTTTGGTGTTAGGGAGACATGCAGAGGATATTTGCCTATTATTATTGTAATAATAATAATGTTTCAGTTGATTATGACAACTAGAGATAAGACATTCTTGTTTAATATTTGCCTATTATTACTGTAAGCCGGTTATGGCATGTTATGCATTAAAGCACGTTCCTTGAAAGAAGCAATAGGATATGGTTCTTGATGTATTCAATGTTTTCCTTCCTGTCTTTATTTTTCTTTAATGTTCAATGTCAGAGAAGAATGCCCACCTATACTTGTCTCATTTTTTTTTATTGGGCTTTCTTGACAGGTCATAGAGCTGTCTATTTCTGGTCTGAAACTGTATTACTGCTACTGGGTTGATTTGGAAAAGTGTCATCTTACCAACCATGCGTTCATTGAGCTGTTAGAATAAATTTGGAAAAATCTGCTACAATAATTCACTAGAAATGCTTTTTTTAGTTGCAGGAGAATGATTTGTACAAATAAATGAATTAATTTCTGAGTGTCTTGTCTTCTCCAACTGTGTGTATTGTTAATGTTAGTTCTTGTATATTTGAAGGTAGACTTCAGGACTTTTTTCATCATCTGAATGATCAAGTTCCAGACATGGAACCAAATTCTATTTATTTATACAAGTAATTCCTAGATCTCATAGTATCTGGAGTCCAATGCATTTGATTCCTTCTTTTTCTTTTTAATCTTCGTATATTTTTGACTCACAATTTGGATGCTCAGTGCAGAACTATTGAAGTTAAGAGTTGTTGTTTGGATAAAATTCCGTGTATGCAATACTTTGTTGATTGAATACATGGAATTCAACAAACAGCTCCCTCTGAGTGTCAATAGGAACTCGCGAATTCAAGTCAGACGAATCATTCGCGCGCATGAACGATTGAGACTCAGAGGGAGCTGTTTCGCTTCAATTGTCATTTGTCCTTTACATATACTTTTTCTTCGATTTGCCAGCATAGGAAAGATAATTCTTTCTTTCAGTATCCTGCTTCTAATTTACAGGGACAGAAACAATGATAAGATATGCTTGCGAAGGAAATCGATGAGATTGGAACGACAGACAAAAAAAACAGAGGAGGACCTCTTACAAGGTCCTCCATGTTTGTGGAGAGCAAATAGATAATTGAGTAATCTTTGGTTCCTTTGTTCTTCTTTGATTGTATCATATATAGATAGTTCAGGAAGTTTGTACTATTGATGCTAATTTGTGTTTTCTTTTACCTTCTCTTGGTATCAACCAAGGAAAATAGAGATCAGTTTCTTGGCTGTGTTCTATCACATCTTTCTTCTGAGCAAACCGTTCTTCCTATCTGGAGGAGGGTCACATATATGCATGCTTGCAGTGGCTCAACATTCGTGGTAATTTCTTGTGCCGATTCATAGAGTTGGAGCAAGTGAGAGAGACGAGGGTAGAGCCTCAGTATCACGAGTAGATTGAGGGAAGAAGAGAAGCAAGCAATCGGGACGAGCCATACGCGACGACCGCAAAGCCCTCGACGAGCTCAAGGCTATGGCTGGGACGCGCACTTGGAGGCAAAGATCGGCACAGCAAGGTGAGCACCATCAGAGGCTCGAGGGATCGGCGCGTAAGGCTTTAGGTGTCCACACCGCGAAAGTGGCCGGTACCTTCTCCTCCACCGTCTTCGGTGCCTGGATCTCAACTGGCACACCATCACTACGTGCGAGGCAGCTGAGCCACACTCGGCCTGCAGCTTCGCAGGATCTCAGATCAGGTCCTGCAACTTTCCTTCGCTCAGGCAGCCCAGCGACAGTGAGGCCTTCTCAGCCACGGTTGACATCTTATAACCACAAGCTCAGGTTCATCAGACTACTCATGTAAAGCACCTCGGTGCAGAAAGAACTACGGACACAAATGATCGAAATGTGGAGCTCTGATGAGCATGGTTTCTTGGGATCGCATTGGCATGTGTTTCTCCCATTATGTATCATATAATATCAAAATCTCAATACACATATCGACTAGGAGAGCTAATTTTATTCTTTTGAAGTAAAAGATGTCGTCTCTATCATTGTTATATATATATATATATATATATATATATATATATATATATATATATATATATATATATATATATATATATATATATATATATATCATATAATAAAGGTTGGTGTGAGCCACACGGGCGGTAAGTAACCGATGGTGAACGAATTCTCTTTCTTGTCCGGTAGCTGCACCACGGCGGCGGTATCCATGAGACGCTGAAACCGCGATCGGGCGCGTCCTCGCGCAGAGAGCGATGACAAGGAGCCGAGACGGCCGGTGGCGAGGTGGGGAGGGCTCGTGCGGCGTTGGTTGGCGACGGCGACGGCGACGGCAGCGACGTGCCACGCTTTGCAGACGGCACCGAAGCGGACGTGATTGGCGGTGTCGGCGACGAGCTGCTCCGCGATGAGTTCCAAAAGGCCGGGTTCGAGAGTCGACCAGTCGGCGCTCTCGCTGTGTCTTTCTTTGCTTATCGCCTTTGCTTGTTTTGCTCCCATGTCGAAGAGGTTCAATAAGATGATGATGATGATGATAAGCACGGAGGAATACGTCGCTACGTATGTATGTATGTATGTATGCATATATAAGGACGATGATGCGGCGATATTAGAATTCCAGACGAACGAGTTTCCCGTCTACCGTACGTACTTGGCATCGATTAGGAAATCGAATCCCATCACGACTGGGATTAGGACCGATTTCCTGTTGCCTACGGCCCAACCCAATTCCGAATCCCACTGGAATTGGAATTGAGATTGGATCACATTTAAACCGAGTGAAATATGTCCTAATATCATGATAAATATTTTTGATTTGGATTTAATATTTTTGTAAACCATATTTTTAATTTTAGAGATTTGATACTAATCTTTATTTTTATTTATTTATTTATTTTTTCTAATTGTGAGTCCTTAGTATATTATTTTATTTATTTTCGTTCTTAGAAATCATAGTCTTTATTGACTAAGGATTATATATATAATTATATATATAATTAACATAAAACTTAAGAATTATATATATATATATATATATATATATATATATATATATATATATATATATATATAT